GCACAGTGTACGCCCGGCTTTAGGGACTGGGCCTATCATCTGCAATGTCTCAAGGTGGAAGTGGACACATCGTCTGGTCCAGGAGCCTTGCAGGCTTCCAGCCCTGAAAGAGCTGGTGCTGTGTTGGAAGAGGGGTGGCTTTTGTGAGGTGACTTCTGGGGGGAGGGAGTTGTGAATGACCGTGATGATGTGTAGAGGTATCATGGTTGGCTTGTGGACCATCAAAGCTACAGTAGAACTTGTTCAGCCTGTTGGTAACATCAGATCAACAGTTGAATGCGGGAGTTTAGGCTTGTAGTCATTTGCCTAAACCCTTTCCACACTTTGCCCTGAACCTTTTTCTCCAAATTCCTCTAGAAACTCAAACAGATAAGAAGTCCAGGAAGAAGAACTGGTCACAGCCTTGGAGTGACCATGCCACAGGTAGGATGTGTGTTTAGTTATAGTTAATATGTGACTTGCTCACATGTCAAACTTAGCACAACTTCATTATGACACCAACAGTGGTTTTGCACATTTTCTAGCCATGTAGTCACCAACAGGCCTGCCTCAGGAAAGGTTCAAACACTGGGTCACTAGTGTGAACCACATCTTTCTCTTTTTATTTATTTTTTCGGGGCAATGCACATTAATGAACTATCAGGTACTTATGTACAGACTGTAAATGAGACAGAATATAGCAGCTGGAAGCAGGAAGGGCCTTATGTCCAGTAAGTTTAGCCTTTTTTAAGTGTGACCTTGATATGCCTGCCCACAAATATCTGCTACACCCTTGTGTTCAGTTTATCTTATTAAAAAGTGAAAGTTGTATTTACAGGTTGTCCTTCTCCTGCCTGAGTGAAAACACTGATCTCAGCAGCATTTTGCTGAGTATTTTTCCTCTGAATTTTCAGTTCAGATGCCAAGGTTTGGGCAGCCTCTTTAATCTTCATGATTTTCCTTTACAAATCGTTTGTTGTTACGATTAAAAAATTCAGTTAAACAAGTCATACAGGAGACACACACAGTGATATTTGAGAAGTGAAACAAATTTTATAGGATTTACAGAAAGTGTGCAATAGTTGTTAAAACAAAATTAGGCAGGTGCATACATTTGGACACTGTCTTTCGAACTCATTTTTGGAACTCAAAATTGGTTTGGTAAGCTCACTGACCCTTGACCTCCACACACAGGTGAATCCAGTTATGAGAGAGTATTGAAGGGGTGCAATTATAAGTTTCCCTCTTTGAATATTTTCTGAAGAGCAGCAGCATGGGGTCTCAGAACAACTCTCACTGAGCTGAAAACAAAGATTGTTCTCCTTCATGGTTTAGGGGAAGGAAAAAGAAAGCTGTTTTAGAGATTTCAGCTGTCTGTTTCCACAGTTAGGATCATATTGAGGAAATGGAAGGCCACAGGCACAGTTCAAGTTAAGACCAGCACCAAAGACCTACAACATCATCTTGCTGCTGAAGGAGTCACTGTGCATCATTCAACTATTCGGTGCACTTTACTCAAGGAGATGCTGTATGTGAGCGTGCTGCAGAGGAAGCCTATTCTCCACCCACAGCACCAACAGCAGCTTGAGGTATGCTAAAGCACATCTGGACAAGCCAGCTTCATTCTGGAATAAGGTTCTGTGGACTGATCAAACTGAGTCATTTGGGTGTAACAAGAGGTGTTATGCATGGAGGAACAAGAACACCGCATGCCAAGAAAAACCCCTGCATCCTACAGTACAACATGGTGGTGGTTCCAACATGCTGTGGGCTGTGCGGCCAGTGCAGGGACTGGGAGCCTTGTTAAAGTTTAGGGACGCATGGATTTCACTCAGTATCAGCAGATCCTGGAGACCAATGTCCAGGAATCAGGGACAAAGCTGAAGCTGCACAGGGGCGGGATCTTTCAACAAGACAATGACCCCAAACACAGCTCAACAACTACTAAGGCGTTCATGCAGAGGAACAAGTAGAACGTTCTGGAATGTTCATCTCAGGCCCCAGACCTGAATATTATTGAAAATCTGTGAGGTGAGTTAGAGAGAGTTGTCCGTGTTCAGAAGCATCACACCTGAATGGTCCAAAATACCTTCAGCCAGAATCCCGACTCTCACTGGAAGTTATAGGAAGCCTTTAGAGGCTGTTATTTCTGCAGAAGGATGATCTACTGAGTTATTTCTTTTTATGGTGCCCATCTGTATGCACCTGCCTAATGTAGTTTAAACAATTACTACGCACTTTCTGTAAATCCTATAAACTTTGTTTCACTTCTCAAATATCTCTGTGTGTCTCCTAAATGATTTATTTAACTGAAATTGTTAATCAAAAATAATCAACAGCCTTGTTAGTCGTAATGGTTAATAAAGCTGCCCGAACTTTTGCATCCCACTGTAACACATATAAGGTTCATAATAGTTGTCCTCTGCAGTTATCCACTCAGGAGAATACTACCTGTTTGAGTCTGACAGTGAGGATGAAGAGGATCTGGTTCCTGAAGAGAAGAAGCTTAAGGATCAGTCTGCATGTCAGGTCAGCTTCACAAAGCAGTTATAGAGTTTATGTCTGTAATTGTGCGCTGTGACATGTATGTGTGTTTATCTATGCCAGTTGGCATACCAGGCGTGGGTAAGCAACGTAAAAACTGCTCTGAGAGAACGTCAGAGACGCCAGAAACACATGAAGAGAACAAAAAGAAAAGAAACAAAGAGGGAAGAAGGACTCTCTTCCCACCAGGAATCTTGTTCTCTGAAAGGTAATGCTGCTTCTTACTTTACTGTGAAAAGTAGGAAGACACTGAACATAGGAAAGTGACTATCTATTCTACTTCACAACAATAGTGTAAAACATTTTAACTTGGATGAAGGCAGATGTTAGCCTTTTTATAACATTTCAATCCCATTCTAATCCGTTACGATCACAATGCAACCATAAGAGGTCACAGGTCAGGAATTCCTTGTGGCTGTCCCAAATCAGGATTGATGGTAGGGTTGTGTCAGGAAGCCTAAGCCAAACCATATGTGTGAGTCACAAACAGGGATTGGTTGGGGCTGGGTTAACTACTTCTAACGGTGCTGTGGGCAATGAAAGTCGGACTGCTTTTGGTTGATGGAGGGGATGAGGAAGGTGTATTTGAAAGGCAGGATTGTAGAGCTGGAAGTTGGAACTACGAATGTTGGAACTAAGACAGGTACAGCTAGAGAAGTGGTGGGCCTGATGCAGAGATGGGAGGAGAATGGGCCATGTGTTCAGGAGACCAGGTGGGATGGTAGCAAGGCTAGAAAATTAGGAGAAGGTTTAAGATGTAGTGACTGCAAGGTGTGAGCGTAGCTAGACTGTAAAGGATGCTGCTCTGTAGGATGAAACTGATAGTGAGGAATATGAAGAGAACAAAGAGTGTTGTGAGGTTTTCAGGGAGGAATTGAGACAAACTCTTGGTGGTCAGGAGGTGCTAACATAACTGGACAAATACAGCTCATGTGATTCGGGAGGCAGGTAAGATGGTACTGTGTCACCTTGAAGGAGTAAAGTATATAAGGAGACTTGGTGGTGGAGCGAAAAAGTCTCACTGGAAAAAGTCCAGTGGGACACTGGAGAGTAGACAGGTGTACAGCAGATTCAGCATTAGTGAAGGTAGAGGTGGCAAGGACCAGACAAAGGCTGTATGACGTTACAGTTGGACAGAAAGGAGGGAGGAGAGGATTTGTGCAGGTTGGTGAGGCAGAGAGTAGCTCCCTAAAGGGCTATTTCACTCATTGTGGGATCTAAATATGATATAACTGTCATTGTTTATGTAGTAATATTAATATGTGATGTAACTGATAATTAAATCATTATTAAATCATCAAGTAGGCTCGTTTGGTGTATTTAAGATCTGAAATAAGGCATTTCAACAAAAAACAGTTATGCTGGATGAGTCAGGGTTGGGTGGTATGTATCTTTTTTTCCATCCTCCAATCATCCGTCCAATAAATGATGATGGGCGATGCATTTGTGCATGTGACTCTTTGGGCAACATAATTCACGGTCTAATTTGTGAACACAGAAGAAGACCGAACATTGATTTCTGGTTGGAGTTAGTTTTATTTGGGAATGTCTGAGTGCAGCCTTTTCTGAGCTGTCTTTCATTCTGGTTACCATGACAACGTGTGTATGATTGGGAAGCAGAAGAGGTTCTGGAGGTTCTCATAGTTGTAAAATAGAACATGGACTTGTATCTGAATCAGGCGGTTTATCTGTTGCTCCCCAGTGGGTCCCAATCCCAGCACAGCCCCAGACGGATCTCCTGTCAGTACGCTCATGGAAAGGCGTTTACTCCAGAGAGCTCGCTCTGACAAATCCTTAATAATAAGAAGAAACGGTCATTTATCTAACACATCTCAAGCAAAATCATGAGGACGAAAATATAAAATCATAAAATTAAATTTAAAATGATATTAATTAGTTAAAAATGAATAAAATACATTATAAAAATTTAAAGAGCAACAATTGTGATTACAAAAAACACACTCCATTCTACAATGTCAGATTCCCGTCAGGTGTTTCAGCACCAAATATGACTCAACTGTTTTTCCACTGAAATAATTATTTAATGGGTAAAATAAATAGTGGATGAGGAACATGTGTGGACAACGTGGTTCCCCCGTTCTACCATTAGATGCTGTGTATGGTTGATAAATGAGGCCCCTGGGGTGTGAGAGTGAGGTTGGCATGGTGGGGCCCCGAGTCAGGCCTTGAACTTGGCGTGGAGGTCACCGCTAGAAATGTAGCCATCTGACAGGAGGGGCTACAGAAAGAATGGGCTACAGACAGGAGGGGCAGATCGACACAGCATCAGACAAACTCAGGATTATTTGCTCCAAACTAAAAACCAAAAGAAAAGAAACAGATCCTTTGCGGCAAACAGGTACCATGGATATTCCCACAATAAACTCTTACCCCCAAATTCCACTACCTTCGCTCTGCTCCGGTCCGCCCCCGCCCTCCGCAGCCGCTCGCTTCCGAACTCAATTTTTACTGGTACCCGCTCTACAACGGCTTCGCTCCGGTGCGGAGACCTGAGGTGGGCAAACAGGCATGCGCGGGATTTTCGAGATCTTGCGATACAGTCCGAGCAGTAAACGCGAAAGTTAGATCCAAACACCCGTTGTGTGGGAGAAGCATCGAAATGAACTGTTTAATCTGCCCATCATTTGTGTTGAGAGATCAGCAGTGTTTGGATCAACAAAGTGTGACTACTTTGATAGTGGAAACTGTATTTATGGCTTACTTTTGTGCATTTAAACTTCAGCCGCCATTGATAGTTGTTAAAAGTTGTTAAACCTGTGCATATGAAACAAAAAACGTCTTTTGTTTATCGATTTATTGTGAAAAACGGAAGTTGTGCTTGCTCCCTTTCCTGTTGGGCAGTTGTGATTTCTGTCCATTTACTGCGGAGGTGCTCCGGTGTCCGGCAAAAATAGAATCAATCCCATTTTTGCCGGACGCCGGAACAGAGGGCGCCGCACTGCCGGAGCACGGCCGCAGTAGTGGAATTGCTCTGATTGACTACAACGGGACCGATTTTGCTCCGGCGTTCGTGTCATTGCGGAGTGGAGGTAGTGGAATTTGGGGGTTAAGGAAGTTATAGAAAACTCCTCATTGTCAATGAATTAATATGAATACACATACACATAATTAATTCCCAAGTATACATCCAGATCTAACGTCATCAAATCCAAATACACTATTAGTGGGTTCCATTTCTTCATGAACAAATCAGCATTCAAGTTGAGGTATGCTGTCATTTTCTCCTTTGTGTACACTATCACCATATATTCCTACCGCTGACTGACAGAAGGGGGTAGTGGTTTACCATCTTTTAGCCTCAAATAGCAGGACTTTCAGCAAAAATATTTTTTCTTTACTCAAGAGGTCAGAGGGGAGTATTCCGAAAACCAATGTCAATGAGTTCCTTTCAATAAGGACTTCATTAAATATTTTAGAACCTCTTCTCTAATTCCCTCCCAGGAGGTGCTAAACCTTCGACAATCCCAAAAACTGTGCGTAGGGTCTCTGATTTGTCCACATTGTCTCCAGCACATTTTTGAAACATGAGTTCTTATTAATGCTTGCTTAGTTGCTGCAAAGACTCTGACACTAGTCAGTGACTCGATGCAACTTGCTGAGTTCCTCATATAGGAAACTTTACTGATTGGCTTAATGAACTGACCTGTATTGCAGTAGCTCAACAGGTTGAGCGGGTTGTCCAGTAATCGGAAGGTTGCAGGTTCGATCCCAGCTCTGGACAGAGAATTCTGTTGTTGTGTCCTTGGGCAAGACACTTAACCCACCTTGCCTGCTGGTGGTGGTCAGAGGGACCGGTGGCGCCTGTGCTCGGCAGCCTCGCCTGTCAGTGCACCCCAGGGCAGCTGTGTAGCTCATCACCATCAGTGTGTGAATGTGTGTGTGAATGGATGAATGATACACTGTAGTGTAAAGCGCTTTGGAGTCCTTACTCTGAGAGGCGCTATACAAGTGCGGGTCATTTATCACTTACTGTGCCTTAAGACGACTCTTGTTGTGATTTGGCGCTTTATAAATGAATTGAATTGAATTAGTTTTGTCAAAGTTAGAAATAATAAAGGGTGCTTTGAAAAACTCTAGTACTCACTTTCCAGTTGAATGCTCTTCATGTTTGGCTTGCAGGACAATTTATGTCCATTTACCTACATTTGCACCCTGTCTTGATCATCAATCTCAATTTTCATTTCCCACTTTTCCTTCCTTCATGTCAAGAGCATTCCCTAAAATGTTAGATTGTAAACATTTATACAAACATACCACTTTGTCGTATTTCCCTTCTTTTGTGTTTTTTAAAAAGCATTTTAGAAACACTTCTTTTTTGTAGGTGGTGAGGATGAGGTATTCGAAGAGGAAGAGGAAGAGCAGGAATCTGGTAGGAAGTACAAACATTTTTGGCAACTATTTTTTGCTGTAATAATAAGCAGTCATTTATGTTTCTGAAAGCATTCTTTGTCTACAGCATTTTTTCACAGCTGCCTGAAACTTTTGCACAATACTGTACATTTTCTGTATAAATGTGGCAGGTTTTTTCTGTTGACTATCTCATGTCTGTTCTACATATTATTTTTGCTTTGACTTCCTCATCAGTGCTACTTCACTTACTTCACATGTTCAAAATTAGTTGCTATTTTTTCAGCAGAAGATCTCACCTGGTGCTTCCACATAGGGATGGGTACCGAATTCGGTACTTTTTAAGGTACCGACCGAATTCCATAGTACCGACCGAGCACCGATTCACTTCATTTGAAACGGTGCCTCGTTTCGGTACCCGTCCTTCACAACGAGAACTTGCCTAGACAGCTGCGCATGCACAAGAGCGTTAAGTCATCGGTCGCTGCGAGCGAGTTGTAAACAGAGCAGCATGGGTAGAAAGAAGGAACGCTAAAGCTTGGGTCCACTTCACTAAATGTGATGGGTAACTGGGTGATGATGAAACCAGCTACAACAATCTAAGTGAGACATCCTCATCTTAATCTGCTCCGGTAGGTAAATAAACTATAAGATAACGTTAGCTTGATTTGTTAGCTTCCGTTTCACTAATGGTGCGTTTGCTTTCTCCTCGGAACTCCGAAATTCTGACTAGAAGAACATGAACGCGCTCTAAAGTTTAGCTTCAATTTACTAAATGCGACGGGTGATTGGGTGAAGATGAAACCAGTGACAACGATTTAAGTGAGGCAGCATCGTTTAAATCTGCTTCAGCAGTTAAATAAACTGTTAAAGATAACGTTAGCTTGGTATGTTAGCTTCCTATGCCACCATTGTTATCATCTAATGGTGCGTTCGCTTTCTCCTCGGAAATTCTAACTTCCCAGTAGGAAAAATCAATTGAAAAAGGACGGTAAAAGGAATGAAGATACACAGTAAATTTAGTTCACAGTAAAGATGTTTGCTTCAGTTTAATTATCAACTTGAAAAACTACAAGGACGATGTTAAAATACAAACAGTTGTATGTTACTTATCGTGATATTTATCAAATATGGTTATAAATTGAGAAAAATATATATCTAATTATAAAAGAGAATTAAAATATTAAACACTCAAAAGTATCGAAAATTGGTACCGTTAAGTACCGGTATCGATACCTAGGTACCGGGAATTAGTACTGGATCGATTCAAATGTCAAAGGTACCCATCCCTACATTCAGGTGGGAAACTTGCTACACTCTTTACTTTTACATCCTGTTTTGTGTCCTCCAGTTCATGGCGAGATGGTTCAGAAGATCTTGGACATTCTTCAATTTTTGTGGGTCATCGTCTTGGCCATGGTAGACGGACTCACTCAATGGCTCAACCTGCTCACTAAGCAATACAGCGATGCGTCTTCAGTTCTGTGTGAAGAACGCTACTCCATCTTGCACAAAATAAAGCAGGTAAGCCACACGAGCACATCTATAGAACGTGGTTCTGATCTGAAACTGAACACTAAGGGAGGATCACCAAACGTGAGTTCTTATTGATCTAGTGTTGTGTCTGCATCTTCATGTTCATGGCAGCATCATGCACCAGCAGAGTCCAGAGAGGATCAGGTGTCACAGACAAGTGGAAGTGCCACTTTTGATGCATGTTTGGATGAAGCTGAAGATTCTACCAGAAATAGGTTGGTGCCTGCCACTGTTTCACAAACCTGCAAATTGGACCCCAGATTAAACCCTAATATGGACATGTTAGTATGCCACTGCCACAGAAACTATTATGGGTGACTGTGGCTCAGGGGTCAGCAGTTTGCCCTGTTGGGCGCCAGTTTGAACCCTGGCTCTCTCCGTATTGATCTTTGTATATATGTGTAAATAATTTGCTTCTGACAGTGTGCCCCAGGGCAGCTGTAGCTACATTGTAGCTCATCACCATCAGTGTGTGGGTGAGTGAATGACTGAAGACTGGCGTAAAGGGCTGTGGAGTCCTATGACTTAGGAAAGCTAGACATGTGCAGGTCGTCTATTCGGTTATTCAATTCAGTTTATTTAAAAAGCACCAATCCCTCTTAAAGGCACTTTACAAGGTAAACAATTGAACCTACTCTTCAGTGCATTGAGTTAAATTCATTTTTCCAATTAGTAAAACATTTTTTAATCTTAAGAAAACCATGCAGATTGCATAGAGTTGTTGTGTCAGTGACTTTACAGCAATCCCCATACTAAGCAAGCATGTAGCAACAGTGGAGAGGAAAACTGCCCTTTATGTAGACCCTACACCTTCAACAGGAAGAAACCTCCACCAGAACCTTGATCAGTATGATCAGCCATCAGTTATGACTAGGGATGGATACTGTATTCGGTACTTTTTAAGGCACCAACCAAATTATATGGTACCAACCAAGGGCCGAGTCACGTGATATGAAACGCTGCCCTCTTTCGGTACCACCGAGTTTTGTACCTGATTTCCCAAGATAGACAGCAGTGTATGCGCAAGTGCGTTATGTCGTCAGTCGCTGCAGGCTGGCTGTAAACAGAGCAAACAGCATGGCAGAAAGAATGCGCTCTAAAGTTTGGGTTGTGGCGTAATGACCAATAAGAAGTGATAATTCCATATAAATATGAAATATCGAACTGACTGATCTTTGAATGTTTAAATTAGAAGATTGTAGTTATTTTTACTTGCCAGGGACCATAAATACACATTATAGATTCAGACACAATCAAGTATATAGTACGTGAAAAGGAATTTTTTTTCTAATTCCCTAAACTAATGATTATACAATACAAAGTATAAATAATGATAATGTAATGTAATGTATATGAGGTGATTTAATGTGATGTGTGGAATGCTGGAATGGAAATCTAGATGTTTTAGCAGAACCTTTCTTAAGTATCTGAGAGAATTTGTGGAGTCTCGGTTGTGAAATAAATTTGGCTGTATGTTTGTAAACTAGAGATTTGTTTATTAAACCATCCAACGCAATCTGTGCCAAGTCTACGCACACTTGTGTGGAGATTCTCATGCGATCCAGGGGGTTAAGAGGTCCTGATGGACACTGGCGGTGGGGGGAACTTCTCGGTATCAGGAACCCTTAGATTAGCTCCGATAGGACCCGTTTAGTCTTGAGATCTCTCCAGGTGACGGCAGGAAGCTGGAATGCTTGTTTGCGTCTAAGGCTGTTGTTGGCTCTTAGAAGAGTTGTTTTGTCTGATATCACCAAGCGTTGCAGAGAAGCTTTGACTTGATATCAAAATGCCTTTTCCAGGGATTTGGCCGAATCCAAAGTCAGCTGGAAACTAAATTAATTGGGAAGTAATTCCTGTTTTGTTTAAATCACATTGTTGATAAATTTGGCAACGTTTGAGTGCTAAAGCAACTCAGAATATACCTCAGAAGTCACACCTTCCTTCAGATATAAAGATGGTTAACTCTTTGTGTGAATGAGAATGTTTAAAAACGGATGTGACGTGGATGTTCATTAATAATTATCTTATTGTAATGTGTATGAGTATACTGATGGATTAACTTGCTAAATCAACACATACTGATCTGGTGTAGATAAGATCTGGAATGGATCACTGCAGGAACAATATTCATTTTAAAGCCATCATTGATTAATGCACAATTATTCAAATGTTTGATAGAAACATCTTGTTCATTCAGCACATTTTAATATTTCAAATTATAAGTTGTAAATTCACGTAGGAACTTTGAGGTGGGTGTACTTTATTTAGAGTGAGGATGCAGCAGTCTCACATGAGGCCTTTAGCAAAGATGTTATGGCTTCTTTGGCTTGTTGCACGTTGTACACTTGTTTTTCTTTCTTGGAGGCCAGACACTTGGTGTTTTTGTGTCTGCAAATGAAAGGTTACTTTCTGGTCAACTTGTTGGTGAAGCATTGACCGCCGGTACATTAACCCCACCCAAGGGCAGAAGACCACGAGGCGTTGGACAACCTTAGAGGCCCTGAGGACTCAGCAGAGGAAGACCGAGTTAGTTCTCAGGCACCAAAGCATCAGGAGTGAGGAAAAGCAAACCCCCACACAGCAGAATAGTCAATTGATATCCCAATCAGCAAATTGTAATCCCACTTTGCGAAATCTGAAGGCAGGGACCTGAGACGGAAGCCAGAACCATGAGGAGAAACGGACCAGATCACAGTGATCCGCAGTGATCCAGGAGACAGGAAAACCCTAGGACGTCCAGAAGAACCAGAAAACAAAATCAGAAGCAGCAGGAAGCAGGAACCAGGCAATGGTTGGAGAAGCAGCAATGTAATTCCCAGGCAACGAGGACATCTGGCGAAACTCAGCAAAGCATCAAAACATACACACACACACACACAGGGCATTTTACCATAGACTCTCACAGATGGTGTCTGATGGAAAAGAACAAGTAAAAGTAAAACACTAATACCATATGTATGGAAATTATGTGAAAAGAGGTCAGCTGAAAGATGTGGATGCAGTAAACTACGTGTACTGAAAAAAATGGTGTATAAACAAACAAAATAACACAAAACCCTATAATAATAAAAATCATCATCATCATCAAACGTAAATAGCGCTTTATTAGGACACTCAAAGACGCTTGCGTGAACTCTTGCATTCACACACTGCTATAATATATGTAAGGGAAAATGAAAGAATTTGAACAAATACTGTAATAAAAAATATAAGAGCAAAATAATTAATGGCTCATAACTGGCAAAAACTGAAATTTAATTCACCAAAAATCACAAAAAGTCTGTGGTAAAGTAATCAATGATAATCAAAGTAATGTAAAAATGTATGTATTTGAATGTATCCTTAAAAAAATGAATGAAAACTGAAGAAGAAACACAAGAAGTTAATCAGTGTTAGTAATCAAACCTATTTGTGAATGTACCACAAAATGAATTAGAGATTAGTATTGTAAAAACTTTATTCCAAAATTAACTTAAATCAACAAATGATATTTGTAAAAATTGTAAAATTATTTTTTAACCATCTATAAATTGGAAGAGAAAAATAAATGAATTTGGATTAATTTAACAGTTAGTGGATTTAATCGTTTTTAACTGTTATGAAACTAGTCATAGAACTGTAGAAACCCACGGCATGACAACATCAAAGTCAACCAAGTCGGCACGTTGTGTTTAGACATGAATAATATCCACGCACACACACACATACACTCAAACAGAACCTGTGTAACTTGAAACAGAGAACCGAGGGAGAGGAGATACCCCCCCTTACCTTTCTGGATTGCTACTTTTTATTATAATGTTAGAAACAGCAGAAGTCAGACAGAAGGAAATGGGGTATGTGCGTAAAAACAGAATTTCATTGTCATTTTGAAATGCTGATGTCAAAATCTTATATAATGGGTAAATAAGTATTTGGGCAGCTGGGCAGCAGTAGCTCAACAGGTTGAGCGGGTTGTCCAGTAATCGGAAGGTTGTCCAGCAATCGGAAGGTTGTCCAGTAATCGTAAGGTTGCAGGTTCGATCCTGGCTCCGGACAGAGAATTCTGCTGTTGTGTCCTTGGGCAAGACAATTAACCCACCTTGACTGCTGGGGGTGGTCAGAGGGACCGGTGGTGCCTGTGCCCGGCAGCCTCGCCTCTGTCAGTGCGCCCCAGGGCAGCTGTGGCTACATTGTAGCTCATCACCATCAGTGTGTGAATGTGTGTGTGAATGGGTGAATGATACACTGATACACTTACTCTGAGAGGCGCTATACAAGTGCGGGGTCAATAAGTATTTGATTCACTATTTCATTTCGTTTTAGTGATTTTTCATGGATACGCCCAGGTTCCGCTGATGCTTCAGATATGCCACTTTTCATGGATTTACTTGGGAGTGCACACACACACACACACACACACACACACACACACACACACACACACACACACACACACACACAAGCAAATGTCATACTAATACAAGTCACTTTAGTTTGAAATGAATGTTAAATTTGAAATCAGCTTTGGTCTTTAGTTTGTTCTCAGTGTACTTGGGATAATGGATGGTGGACCTTGGACATTTTGAAACTCTGGATACCGCCTTGTCCTCAGTCCCACAGGTACATCTTCCAGTGAGAAAGCAGAGTCTGGGGACTTTGAGTTGGGCTCTCCAGTCTCTGGGTCTGAGGTCACTGAGGTGGTCAAAAAGCTCCTCAGTGGCAAGGCTCCAGGGGTGGATGAGATACTCCCAGAGTACCATTGTGTTTAGGGTGGTTGTGGAGTGTGCATGGGAATTCTCCCAACCAATCTACATGTATTTTGGACAGAAATTGTCCAAAGTTTAGAATCTAGAGTAAACCCTCAGGTGTCATTAGTGACATTTTTGTCCATTTGGGCAGCTTTTTTCTTTTCTTTTGGATGCCATTTTAGCATTGTTTGTGGATATGGTACAACATTTTGCCCCAATATCTCTCTCAGGACAAATTTTAAAATTCAATTAGGAATTTTGAAAATAGACAAAGGGAAGACTATTAAAATAACACTACCCTCTTGTGACCTTACAGGACAAAAATGTGGCTCTAAAAATTATTACATCCATAAATACTTGGAGGACAACAACCTACTATCTCAGTACCAATCGGGCTTCAGAAAAAAACTTCTCGACAACTACTGCACTGGTTAATTTTTCTAATGACATCTATTCTGGTTTTGACAATAATTTATTTGGTGGTGCAATTTTTCTCGATTTAACAAAAGCCTTTGACCTTGTCAATCACTATCTACTTTTAGATAAATTATATGCCTTTGGTCTGTCAAGGCCGTCTCTACTGTGGTTTAGTTCTTTTCTTCATCATCGTTCTCAATTTGTTTCCATTAATGGTTCTGACTCCAACACGCGAGGAGTCATCAGAGGTGTTCCCCAAGGCTCTTCACTTGGGCCGTTATTATTTTCAATTTTTATTCATGATTAACCACGGTGCTGCAGATCCTGTTCTGTTCAGTTATATGCAGATGACACGGTCTTATACTGTTCTAAGTCGAGTAAATCTGAATTACAAGAAGCTCTTCAGCCTAATTTTAACGAAGTGCAGCTCTGGCTAGCGCAGAACAAACTTCTTTTAAATAAATCTAAGACTTACACCATGCTGTTTCATAGATGTAGTGCTCTATCTGATAGTGACTGGACTCTTAATCTTTATTTTTTTGGATTCCTCGCTGGTTCTTCCTTCTGTTAAAATGAAATATTTAGGAGTTTGGCTGGAGCCAGAGCTGTCTTTTAAATTTCACATTCACACGACATGTCTTAAGGTCACACGGTGTTTACGTATCCTTTACAACTCAATAAACTGCTTTGAACCTATTGTACGAAAGCGCATTGTCACTCAGCTTCTGTTGCCAATTATTGATTATTCTGATATTTTGTACCAAAACTCAACAGTTTCTAGCCTGCGGTCTCTTGATGTCGTCTACAACAGTTTGTGTCGTTTCATTTTGCGGTGTTCTTTTAACACTCATCATTGTTATATGTATGAACTTCTTGGTTGGCTGCCTTTAAAAGCAAGACGACAATTTCATTGGTTGATATTTATGTTTAAGCGCATTTATTTTGATTTTCCACTTTATCTAAAAACTCTTTTGGTTCCCATTTATTCCTTGTATTCCACCCGCTTAACTACTCTTCCATCATTTGTTGTTCCTCGTTTTAAAAAGGAGGTGGGTAGACTCGCCTTTTGTGTTAAAGCTCCTCAGGACTGGAATAAATTACCCACTGAATTAAGATCCATCTCAACAATTCGTCAATTTTCCCGCACTGTTTATGCTTATGTAAAGCCAAGCTGTAGTTGCTTTGTTTAATCTTTATTATAATGTTTTTGTGCATTCACTGGCTAACTTGCTAACTTTGTATTCAGTTGGGATATTACTTCACTTTAGGTTTATTTACGATGTAATTTCTTGCCCTTATTTCTCTTTGAGTGCCTCACAGCAGTTTTATTTAATTTAATTTTGTATGTAGGTATGTATGTATGTATGTACACGTGTGGGTATCTATGTATCTATGCTTATGTGTTTATATTTACGTGTGTATATATATATTTATACATATCGTTAATTTTACTATTATTATTTATTTACGTTCCTTCTTTTCTTTTCTTTTTTTTAAAGTCTGTTATAACTTTCTAACTCTGCCACCTTATTTGTTATTGGTTGTGTTGTAGGAGGACCTGCTCGAAAACGAGCTGTTACATCTCAAGCAGTTTATCCTCCTGAAAACCATAAGTTAAATAAATAAATAATAATAAATATAATCATGCTGCCACAGGTAGATCACTCTTGGCTTATCTGAACCTTTTTCTGATTCTTCTCTTGGCTGGTGGTGTTGACCCAAATCCTGAACCTCAACATGCAACTGAATTAGCCTCACTACTCCTAGCTTTTCCCGGGCTTCCTTTGTTAGCCGGGCCTCCACCTCCTCTGCTGCCTGTGGCAGCATGTTTCAGTTCCCCGAATGGAGGAACCAATAAGTGCTGGCTCCATTTTGTTGGGTGGAGGGTTATATTTTCACTTTTTCTTGGAAATGTAAAGGTCAGCAGAAGATAAAAAGTCATTCACATAGCAAAGCATGATGTTGATAGCATAATCCAAAGTCTTTTTTGCTCCTTAGATGACTCTTTTCCATTCGACAATACCATCCTATCTCCTTTATCACAGGTTAAAACTCTGGGTGTCATTTTGGATACAAATTTGTCTTTCTCTGCTCACGTCAATAATGTGGTTCATTTAGCCTACTTTCAATTGTGCATTATCATTCAGCTACTACCATCTCTTACTCGGAACGATGCCAACATTTTAGTTAATGCATTAGTCCAGGGATTCCCAAAGTGTGGTGCGCGCGAGCTGCCGCTAGGGGGTGCGCGAGGTGAAAAGTGTAATGGCTTCGGAGCTCAAAGTCTGTCAAAAGTCACCATTAGCGTAGCCAGAAACTCATTTGTGGGTGGGCCTAAGAAAATGTGTGACAAAGCAGTAGTAGTCCTACACAAAAGAATTTCAAAGGGGCTTGTCACTTTGTGTTTTTATTACAGAACATATCTTTGGAACTTCTAAAAGGTTCTGGTGGGTGGACCTGAGGGCTCGGGTTGGAGCATAAGGCTTTAACAGTTCAGTAATATAGGGAGAAGCTTGACCATGTAGAGGATTGAAAGTTATAATCAGGATTCTAATTAATTAATTTATTTTACTGATAAAGCCCCTTCCCACCCCTAACCAAGGGGGCCCAAGGTGCTGAACATAGTGCAGAGAAGCAGCACAATAAAACAGCTCTATAAATAAATACAGAGATAAAAACATTTAAAAATGAAAAATTGAGATAAAAACAATGTAAGAATATTGATCAAAAACATTAAAATGTGAAAAGAAACAACTAAGAAACAGATCTAAAATGCAGCTTAAGCCTTGCTTTAAAAGTGGGCAGCAACGCAGACGGCTTGATTTCTTGTGGGAGTTGGTTCCAAAGCTGAGGACCCAGAACTGCAAAGGCACGATCACCCCTAGACTTACGCTTTGACCGCAGTACCTCTAAAAGCTCAATGTTAAAATGAACTCTAAAGTTAATGGGTAATCAGTGCAGAGACATTAGAATAGGAGTGGTGTGGGCTCTTCTGTTTGCTCCAGTTAGGAGCCTCGCTGCAGAGTTCTGGACCAACTGAAGGCGGTCAAGGGCTTTTGTGTTAAAACTGAATCTGGACCTGATCTGATTAAGATTTATTGCTTTGAGTCATTAGCTGTTGCTTTTTAAGTGAACTGTGACCTGGAGACACTTAAAGCACATGTGTGACAAGCTGTTCTACTCTCAGACTAACCATCAGCCAAAGTGTAATGACTGAAGAACCCCAGAACAACAACACCGTACTTCAGCCAGAAGTGGCCAGATGTCACAGATACTCCAGAACAGCCAGTGAGATTCTGTCTGACAGGTAAGACCCACCAGTGCTTAGTGAGCTGCTACCACTTTGTGACGGCAACAATTACATTACAAATTACATTTGTGTCTAACATAAGAGGATGGAAAGGAGGTTTAAAACAGGAAGTTCTGGTCTGATAAAGAAGAAATGTTGTTGTTTGCTCTGTGTGTGTGTGTGTGTGTGTGTGTGTGTGTGTGTGTGTGTGTGTGTGTGTGTGTGTGTGTGTGTGTGTGTGTGTGTGTGTGTGTGTGTGTGTGTGGTGGTGGTGGGGGGGGGGGGGGTCACAAATATACATATATGTATATGTATACTGTATATAAACTCACATTTGTAACTTTGTCTCTTTCAGGCAGTTTTGTATTGAGGAACTGGAGCAAAGTAGAGAGTTCTTTAGGAACCAGAACCGTCTGCTAAAGCTGCTGCTGTCCATGTACACCCTGCTGTCGGCCCATTCAGAGCTCCTTTGTTATCATCATAGTGTTAAACAATGTGGTCAGTGCCTCTGTCATATCACTTATCCTACCAATGCTGGTGTTCCTCTGGGCTATGTTGTCTGTTCCAAGACCAACCAAGAGGTTCTGGATGACTGCTATAGTCTACACAGAGGTATGAAAAGGAAAACAGACACACTCAAACATTTTCTTTAGCTACATGCAGCAAAAAAACTTAACTGTCCATAACGAACAGACAGATTTAGACAGGTTTGTGAACAATAATTTAGAGCAACGAGTTTTTTGTTTATATAGAACACATTTTAGATATTTCAGTTTAGCTCATGATAAAAGGTAGCAAAAACAAAATGGTTGCAGTATGCAATAACAACAAAGTCAGGTCACCATTAGTCTGTGATTTTGTAGCCTTCTGTAGGTGTAGGCCGGGACGATTTTCACTCTGGTTCTTCTTGTTTTTCTTCTGCTTTTTATTGATGTTATGGTGAGTGAATTCTGCCACGACTAAGCCTAACCAGGCGGTGACGTAAGGTGATGTTGCCGTGTGAATGTCTGCACTGTCAACGAGATTTTACATAGAACTGGATTACAACCTGCGGCGATGTAGCAGTGCTACTTGTTCCCATTCATTCCATTTTTTATACTTGGCAAAAGCAAACGTACTGCTGCCGTATCAGGAGAATTTCTGCACTTGTTACAAAATGCTTTTTTTTCTCACTTATCTAACTCTAAGGAATGCAGTAATACATATTTTCCCTTTTGGGTGGAGTATTTCTTTAACGTAAGTTATTTTTATAGACTGCGTCTGCGAGAAAGACACAATTTATAAAAATGATCTATTTTGCTTTCTTAGGCCTGTATGGTGATAAAGACCGTAATGCTGTGCTATATTCAACCACTTTGTCACTTTATTACAGAAACAGAAATATAATCTTTTGACACTTTGATAAAGTAACAAAAATGAGTAAATTGTTTTATTTATTTTCCCAGTCAGTTCACATTGTTAAGGATTAATATGCTTTCAGTTTTCCTGCTGGTGTAGCTACCATATACTACATTGGGACATGTAGGAGTTGGTAAATTGAAATACTTCCAAGTGTTTACAATACAGTACCAGGATTAAGCAAAGTAACGGAATATGTATGTTACAATTTACATTTTAAAGTAGGTATTCAGTTTTCTGTACCTTAATACATTTACAAAGTATTCTCCCCAACACAGGCTACTGGCACAGTAAACATATTTTCCTTGTAAAGCAAGTAAAGGCCTCCTACTAGTGTTCCTACCTGAACCACAAAATTGTTGAGTGCAGTTCTGGGTCAGTGGAGGGCTTCAAAGTGCTATCCATAGTGACGTTACTCAAGATTATGGCTGAAGATACACTGAAACCAGTTTGAAAGCAAGAGCTTAAAATTATACAAACTCCTTAGCTTAGCTTTAAAATTTACCAGTAATATTCTTACTGCCAAATGTTTCACCAGATCTTCATACCATACCATAACAAATTCATTTAGCGCTTTTAAAACAACACATGGCCGGCCAAAGCACTGTAAATATTACTGAATTAAAAGCTAGCAAATAAGAGTTTTCAACCTGAATCAACTTCATCACAACTGAAAGACTGCATAGTGCCTAATGTCAGGAAAAAGATCATTCCAAATAATTCGATTAATAAAGTATTTTTGAATTGAATTGTATTTGCGGCACAAATTCTTGGTCTCTAAGTTTCATCGACTTTTGGGGCTGAGAGCAACAGCTGGTCAACTGACCTGAGTGAACGAGGGGGGCCATAAGGTCGCAGTAGTACAGACAGGTATTCAGGTGCCATAACAGGTAATGATCTAAAAGTGAGTTACAGGATTTTAAAACTGATTCTACAACCAGCTGGAAGCCTTTGTAAAACCGGGACCTGAGTGCATCGGGTGTGTATGGGTAGCATGAGTGGGTGAGTGATGTACGTTCTTGTAAGTCTTTAGGTTGTATGTATTATGTGTGAGCATGAGCGATTGAGTGTGTGCAGGGGGGCTGCCAGAGATTTTGGGCCCCATGAAAAAATATCAAGTTGGCCCCCTGGGGGCTCGTCCATAGCTGGAGCTGGGGTTCCACCCTCCCAGATTCGAAGGGAGAAAAAAATATGATATATATACTTTGTATTAGTGTTTCAGTTTTGCTTCATTATGTAGGTCTACATGCATTCTTACTTATTTACACATCATTTTCACCAGCTGTCTCTCGTTAAACAGTGAATTTCCTTCAACAGAATTAGCAATATCACTGCTGGAAAAAGTAGGAAATGCACATGCTGAAAGGTGTTAATCTCCTTTTCCTTATTACCCCCTTAAAATATGTTTATTTCTAAAATTTTATCTGATGATAAAATTCAAAATTGGATATCTAATTAAATTTCCATGTTGTGTCAAAGATTTACATAGCAACATTTTCAGCTGTCTTTCCTCTTGAAATCAAGTATTTCTGTATGACTGACAAAAATGAAGGATTCACTGCTCACAAGGTGATTTCTGTGTTTTTGAACCCAGTCATTAAAATTAATGCACAACAGGGAAAATGCAGCACAGACTCCTGCAGAATATCAGCTGTAGTTCTCCATCATCAATACTAGATTTCATATTTTATTGTGTTCAATGTTATATTAAGTTTATTTATTACAATTATTAATAGCTTTGTTTCATTTTTGCTCTCTGATGAATTATTTGGAAATTACTGATTTTTGGTTTGTGTTCTAAAAGCTACATAAACAAATTACGTCTTGTAAAACCTCTCATAATTCAGTCAGATTCACAACATTTCATTTCAAGGTATTTAGTAGATGAAGAGGATTTTTTTTCTCTTATGTTGCCTTCAAAAAGGTGCTTCACAGTAATAATCTCACAGTAATTTATGTTACATTAACAGACTGAATAACAATGCTTCAACCTGCCCAGCATCCAAAATAATCTATACATTTTTACTGATTGATATATATATATAATTATCATTATGTGGAAAAACAATGTGTTTATCACCAAAAATAGCCTTTTTATATTCCTTTGTAATAGTACTGATAGAGAAGAGAGCCTTAAGTGATTCCCACAGACCCCCTTAAATGAGGCAGCTAGCTAACATGCTACATTGCTCACCTTCTTGAGGTTCATTGGGTTGTGAGGGGACAACTGCTGACATGTCACCAGCTGCTGATTCTGGTAGGGACAAGGACAACAACCCATTTACCATAATTAGATGAAACATAGTTCCTCTCACTGTGGATATCAGAGCTAGCAAACAGGTTGAATTTAACCACTCACTAACCACCAAATGGTTCCCGAGCGCGGCTGTGTCTGCAGCTCACCGCTCCCCCAGGGGATGGGCCAAATGCGGAGAACAAATTTCGCACACACATTGGTGTGTGTGACAACTAATGGGACTTTAACTTTAACTAAACCCGCCTTTCTTTGAGAAAAACTGTGTGACATACTGACGCCCTCTCTTCTGCCTGTCCTCTTTCTCCTTTCTTTCTTTCCTTTTCTGTGACCCAGACTTTGTTTTTGCAGACATATTTTTACTGCAGCCTTGACGCACTCTGCTGTCTGACTGCTAGCCTCGCCTGCTACGCTCCCCTCGGCCAGGTGGACTGTACCATTTTATGCTGTTGGGGGGGGGGGAGGGGGGATTAATTAGTCAAAATAAAGTAGGGACCTCTGAATAAATATACATTTCATAAAGACTAAAAGATTGTTTGTTTAATGTCTTAAATGAGAAAAAATACTGCAAAGTAAAGTACTTGTGATTTTTTTTTTTTTTTTACTTTGAAACTTTTTTGGGCCCCTGACAGTTGTGGGCCCTTAAGCCGGGTGTACACTGTGCAACTTTTTCACTTTTTGAGCCAATTTTCCACTCGTGCGAGAATCCACGAGATCGGGGCGAGTTTTGCGCCGAGCGTGGTGTAGTGTACAGGGGGTTACGAGAGGCGATTAACACCACGTGACCAGCTACCGATCAGCAATCGTGAGCTCGCACGGACTTCTGGAGTGTTTAATATTTTGCTCGTCCCTTGTGAGGGTATCGCACTGTTGAAGCGGTGCTGCGAGCAGCTGCGACCCAAAAAGTATCAGAACCGCTCACGGCGCAATCCTGCATGAACACAGCTCGCCCGCTATTTGCCTAATAACACACGTTGTTTGTTTTTGTTTCTACACGTTTTTTTACTTGCAAAGATTGTCAAGAAAGCGTGTTTGTCGTGTTCATGTCAAATTAAACTGAGCACAAAACACAGATTTACTTTCTTTATTTCGTTTTCCTCATCCAACCCCCATAAATCCCCGTGTGTCCTCCTGCAGCACTCCTGAAGGACAACAGGCAAAACAAGACAAAACAGTCTGACGTGTTGAGTAAAAACTGCTATTTTTAGCATATTTTTAGGTCCGACGTGTTGCTACCAGACGTACAGTGTGAGCAGTCAGGTCGCATCCGAGAACTGGGTCGTACAGTGTGAGCACATGACTCGTGAGATCTGCTCTGCGAGGAAGTCGTACAGTTTGAGCTGAAGCTGAGTGCTACGAGTGAAAAAGTCGCACAGTGTCCGCCCGGCTTTAGAATCTTCCTAATCTTTCACCGCTTTACGGCGCCCCTGAGTGTGTGACTGTGTTTGTGTGTGACTGTATATGTCAGGTGGGATCTTGGGAGCTACAGTATCTTCGCCTACCCCCTCTTTGCCACTTCTTCTGCCGGTGGGTGGTACATCGGTTTTGCCAGCATATCCGCAGCTCCCATGTTGGGGGCGGGGCGTTTTTGGGATCTGTCGGGTCGCTTCAGGTGGCTGCCTGGTAGGGTCTGGATCCCTGGGCTCTGTCAGGTCCCCGGTGGGGTTGGTCGCGCGTTCCACAGCTTGGGGCAGCATGCCAGAAAGCTTTGTATTGTGCATCAGGAGCAGTTAATCATGACATTTTTGTGAAACGTAAAGACCGTTTTGGGATTTAGGGCTTAAAGACATCAGAAAGGTATGCAGGAGCCTGATCATGAGGGATTTTGTTAACAAAAACCATAGTTTTGAAATACATCCGATAAAAGAGGATAGGTGTGATGTGTGTGCATCTGTCAGGATTTGTCAAGAAGCGTGCTGCAGCATTCTGAACTTTCTGAAGACGATCCAGTAGACTTATTTACTCCTAAAAGGACAGAATTTACATAGTTTGGTCTTGAAGTAATAATAGCATGAATGGCTTATTTTAAGTGTGGTCTTGAAGTGGGACAGCAGGCAAATCAAGCAAGATATTGTTACGGGTCCTAGGGGAAATATAATTGCCTCAGTTTTATCGTCATTTAAGTGTAAGAAATTTGCTGAAACCTTGATTCGGAAAAGGGTAGAATACCTTCTCCGGGTCAGGGATGAGGTCCTGCCCCAAGTGGAGGAGTTTAAGTATCTCTGGGTCTTGTTCACTAGTGAGGGAAAACTGGAGCGTGAGATCGATAGGCGGATTAGTGCTGCATCTGCAGTGATGCGGGCGTTGTACCGGTCTGTTGTGGTGAAGAGAGAGCCGAGTCAGAAGGCGAAGCTCTCGATTTACCGGTCGATCTACGTTCCTACCCTCACCTATGGTCATGAGCTTTGGGTCGTGACCGAAAGAACGAGGTTGCGGATACAAGCGGCCAAAATGAGTTTTCTCTGAAGAGTGGCTGGGCTCTCCCTTAGAGATAGGGTGAGAAGCTCGGTCATTCGGGAGGGGCTTGGAGTAGGCCCGCTGCTTCTCCACATTGAGAGGAGCCAGTTGAGGTGGCTCGGGCATCTGGTCAGGATGCCTCCCGGACGCTTCCCTGGTGAGGTTTTGCGGGCACATCCAACCGGGAGGAGACCTAAAGGTAGACCCAGGACACGGTGGAGGGACTATGTCTCTCACCTGGCCAGGGAACACTTTGGGATTCCCCCGGAGGAGCTGGCCCAAGTGGCTGGGGAGAGGGAAGTCTGGGCCTCTCGCCTTAAGCTACTGCCCCCGCAACCTGACTCCGGATAAGCGGATGAAAATGGATGGATGGAAATTTGCTGAAAACTAGATTATGATCTCTGAGAGGCAGTCCAATAGAATCTGAAGGATATCGGGTGATGTAACAGCAAAATAAATTTGGAAGCCATTGGCATAGATGTGATAGCTCACCTGAAAGTGGACAAATATCAAAGTCAGTGGGAGAATGTGTATAGTGAAGAGTACTGGTCCTAAGACTAAGCCCTGAGGGACACTCCAGGGCAGAGCCAGCGATGGGCTTGAGCAGTTCTCCATGCATACTTTAAAGCTCCGGTCCCTGAAATATGATCTAAACCAGTCAAGTGCAATCCCAATTATCCCCACCCATCACTCCAGCCTTTCCACAAAAATGCTATGGTCAACTGTATTGAATGTGGCTGACAGAACTAAAAGGAGAATTACAGGGTGGCTGGCGTCCGTCGCCACCAAGATATCATTAAGGACCTGGATATGTGCAGATTCAACACTGTGTTTGGACCTAAAGTCTGATTGGAAGGGATCTTGGAGGTCATTTTCCTCAAGGTGTTGAAGAAGTTGAGAATAAACCACCTTCTACTGGACTTTATACAAAAATGGAAGCTTAGCGATAGAGCGGTAATTTGCTAAATTCTCAAGGTCAAGACCAGATCTTTTTAACAGTGGATGTATGACAGTATGCTTAAAGGAGGTAGGAACAATCTTAGATGATAAACTGAGGTCAATCATGTCAACAACAAAAGGGGCAACCACAGAAAGAGTGCCAATTAGCACCCTTGGGGCAAGAGGATCCTGTTAAAAGGGAGTTTTCCTCTCTACTGTCACTGCTTGCTTACTATGAGGATTGCGGTTAAGACTCAGGCCTAGTCCACACGTAGCCGGGGTTTTTTAAAAATGAATATCCGCCCCTCCAAAAACTTGCATCCACACCACCGCGTTTTAAAAACAAACTCTGTCCACACGTACCCGGATAAATACGTTGTTAAGGACATGCCAGACCTGTAGGCGGCAGTACTTCCCCCGTTTTTAACCTCGTCCTTCATCTGTGGTCTTCCGCAAGGAGCAGTAATTCCGCTTGCAAAAACAAACAAGCAAAAAGCGCTTGGACAATTGATGGATAGTGACAGAGCGCAGCTCTGAGGGCTGCCATGATGCCGGCTAGTGTAAACACAGGTCGCACACGTGATGCCAGCATTTTTTTGTCGCGGAAAGTGACGTTGCGGACCTTAAAACTCCGGTTTTGTCTGTCCACACGCAGACACCCAAAACGGAGAAAACGCAGATCTTCACTTTGGCCGGAGTTTTTAAAAAGATTCGTTTTCGTGTGAAAAACTCAGTTTTCGTGTGGATGACAGGCCAAAACGTAGAAAAATATCTGCGTTTTGGCAGATCCCCGGCTACGTGTGGACAGGGCCTCAGCCTGTTTGCTGGGTTCCTTATATAGAAAACTTTTTACTGATTGGCTTAATGAACTGACCTGTATTGGAATGTTTACTGTGTGAAGAGCCTTGAGATGACTCTTGTTGTGATTTGGTGTTATATAAATAAACTTGAGGGCTGTGCAGTTGTTAGAGCTGTTGCCTTGCAGCAAGAAGGTCCTGGGTTCGCTTCCCAGCCTGGGATCTTTCTGCATGGAGTTTGCATGTTCTCCCTGTGCATGCGTGGGTTCTCTCCGGGTACTCCGGCTTCCTCCCACAGTCCAAAAACGTGACTGTTAGGTTAATTGGTCTGTCTAAATTGTCCTTAGGTGTAAGTGTGTGTGTGTGTGCATGATTGTTTGTCCTGTGTGTCTCTGTGTTGCCCTGCGATGGGCTGGTTCTCTGTCCAGGGTGTACCCCGATTGCCCATTGCCCCCAACCCCCCATAATAAATATATTTTAATGTTTTTTAAAGATATTTGTTGTTTTAAAATCTTTATTGATGCATTTGGAACTAAAAAGGGGCAGCAGATTAATTAATTTATATTAGACTTGTGCTGATTGGTGAAATGGCCTGAATGGCCCATGGTGCCCACGAGCACCAGGTTGGTGACCCCTGATCTTAAGGCCCAGGACCTTTGTGCAGGTGTTTTGGATTCATTAGCTGATTAGTGTGACGCTTTATTCTAGAATATTGAACCTTTTCACAATATTCTGGCATAGTACATAATTAGTTTGTCTCATGTACTAGTTTCACATTTTAAGTTGAAATACTGACACAAATGAAGCTTTGCACCAGATTTTAATATTTTGTTTTTCACTTGTAGCTAGGACTTTGAGTCAGAACAACCTCTGACTGATGTGCTCCTGTTCTTCCCCCCAGGTGATGGTGGTTCTGAAGTACATTTTCCAGTTTGGTTTTTTTCCTTGGAACAGTGTTTATGAGACCACTCTAAATAAAGAGAAGCCTTTCTTCCCACCTCGCATCTTTGGACTGGAAAAAGCTGACAACTACCTCAAATATGATCTTCTTCAGCTGTTGGCCCTGTTCTTTCACAGATCTCTTCTCATGGTTGGTGTTGAGTTCTTACAATACCTTCACATTGACTTTAGTCATTGAAACCCATTTAAACTGAACTATAATCCCCAAATCTCGTGCTCTATATTTCCCTCACTTGAGATGCATAAACTTCTCCACTTGGGGCAGGACCTCATTCCTGACCTGGAGATGGTAACCCTACCCTTTTCCGAGTCATGACCACGGTGTTGGGTTTAGAGGAGCTGATTCTCATCCCAGCTGCTTCACACTAGGCTGCGAACTGCTCCAGTGAAAGCTGGAGATCCCACTCTGATGGTCTGACAGGACCACATCTCCTGCAAAATGCAGATACGCTATCCTCAGGCAACCAATACAAATCACTTTAACACCTTGGCTCTACCTAGACATCCTGTCCACAAAGATTATGAACATTGGTGAAAAAGTGCAGCCTTGGCGGAGCCCAACTCTCACCTGGAATTAACTCAACTTTCTGCCGGCAATGCGGACCAAGCTCTGACATCTAACAGCCCGTATCATAGGGCCATCCCTAAACGCTGGTGTCCACCAGCATTCCCAGCAGACCCTCACAATATATTTGGGCCTGCCAAGTCTGACCAGCATCCTCCTCCACCATCGAAGCCAACGCACCACCAGGTAGTGGTCAGTTGAAAGCTCCGCCCCACTCTTCACCTGAGTGTCCAAGACATGTGATCAGATGAGACAACTACATAGTCAATTATCGAGCTGCAGCCTAAGGTGTACTGATGCAAAGAGCACATATGGACACCTTTATGTCGGAACATTGTGTTCAATATGGACAATCCGAGGTGAGCACAGAAGTCCGATAATGAAACACCACCCTCAGATCAGGGGGGCGTTACTGTCATTGCCCACGTGAGCATTAAAGTCCCCCAGCAGAACGAGGGAGTCACCATAACGACTCTTCATCAATCCCTCCAAGGACTCCAAAAAGGGTGGGTAATCTGACCTGCAGTTTGGTGCATCAGCACAAACCACAGTCAGCAATAGGATGTGCTCCAAGAATGAGGTCAGCTGACCACCTGAATATACTGAATGACCAGGTTATTCCTTCTTCCCTGGTGGCATGGGCATATTCCAAGATGACGACGCCAGGATTCATCAGGCTCATATAGTGAAAGAGTGGTTCAGGGAGCATGAGACATCATGTTCACACATGGATCGGCCACCACAGAGTCCAGACCTCAACCCCATTGAGAATCTTTGAGATGTGCTGGAGAAGGCTTTGTGCAGTGGTCAGATTCTACCATCACCAACACAAGATTTTGGTGAAACATTAATGCAACACTGGATGCAAATAAATCTTGTGAAGTTGCAGAAGTTTATCGAAACAACGCCACAGCGAATGTGTGCTGTAATCAAAGCTAAAAGTGGTTCTGGGAAATATTAGAGTGACCTTTTTTATTTGTGGCAACTTCTTTTTGCCGGGCAGAATATTTGGTTTGAATTAAGGTAATTTCTCTGGTTTAGGTGCTTATTACAGCAAATATGTTAAATTGGGACTCAAAATGGACATTTTGTTATTTTAAAAGCTATACATGAACTTCCTCGTTTTTCTTTGAAGATTGTACGGAAATATTTACTAATCAATGACGTAAATTAGATTACAAACCTTAACTGTTCCTGCATTGTGGAGGGAAATAACTGTTTTAAATAACACACTGAAACAATGCTTAATAAAATTTTCTTGTTCATTTCCACTGTATTTAACCAGTAACTGTGTATGTGTGTGTACAGCAATATGGTCTGTGGGACCATAAAGATCAAAACTCATCAAATGAACAAGGAGACAGCACTATAGTAGGAGAGGAAAGTAGCAGGAACACGGGAAAATACGGCGTAAGAGCTATGGCCAGCAGCAAAACTCAGGACAACATTGATCAGAACCGGATTGTGAAGGTGGGAGCAGACTTTTTTTGTGCTTGTCATCAAATTTATCTGAAAAAAATGCCTTCATCAGCAATGTTTCATTTGTCAGACTTTTTTTTTCTAAAAATTTATTGTGTAAACAGGGTTCTGTGGACCATTTTGAACCAAGAACAAGCTCAACTGCTCTATCTAATGAACCATTTGAGCCCGATCCAGCAACTACTGGATCACAAGACCAACAGCAAATTCTTTCTGGGGAAACGACTGGAGATTTTGTGACTGAGGAACAGAGAGACCGTGCACCACTGATAAAGGGAGGCTCAGAAACACACAGCAGCATCAGAATACGCAAAAAAACTAAAGAAACAAAAGATCAGCATACCAAAGGTTTGTATCGTAAAGTATTTCCATGGGTATGGTACTAGCAACCTCAGCCTACAGACAGAGAAAAGAATATGTCGCCAAATTGTTCATTCCATGTCTAGAAGACTTGGTCTTGTCCTTAAAAATCACGATGGTCATACAAAATACTAGATGTTGTAGTTTCTGTTGCAGGGTGGATTCATTTTGCTTCAACCAATTTTACTAAAACTGAAGATTTTGTGATCTAAGTTATATTATTAACCTTAATTGTATGTTATGGAGTTACAGGCGTGTTCAATAAAACACAGACTTGTGAACATTTTATAAATTATTCTTTTGTTTGTTGAGCTACTGAATAAATTTGTAACTTTTAAAGGGGGTGTACTCATTTATGCTGAGCACTGTATATCCAGAGATGTTTGGGAGGTAGACATCTGCGTATTGTTTTTTAAGCAGATCTCCTTGATTTTCATGAATTTTTTTCCTTATTTCTCTCCTTCAGAGCCAGAAGCTGAAACAGCTGATCCCAGTCCGGAACCAGTGAAAAAGAAACATAAAGTTGGTAAATCAGAGGCCAGCCTCAGGATTCTGGCTTTGGTACACAAGCTAAATCACATCGTCATGTCAGGGTGAGACAGATGCATTACACAGGTCTCATTATGCACATGTTAGTTTTCATACTGTGGTTTAAACAATAAATATAAAAGCAAGTGATTTTTAAGCACATTGGATTTCTGCTGCATACACAAACTGCTGTACAAACAGCTGCCTTCTCTAATAAAATTATACTTTGCCATCTGCTGTTTTGTTTCCAGCTTTGGGAGCATAAAGAGCCTGGCTCAGGGCTTCTTCAGTAACATCACTCAAGCTGAGTATCAGGCCTCCACAGATGTATATGCACTCATGTTCCTGACAGATGTCATTGACTTTGTCATCATCATCTTTGGCTTCTGGGCTTTTGGGGTGAGATTACATCATGAATAGTGGAGAGAAGACTATTCTTTCTCCCTTCCACCATTCTTTCAGATTCAAGCCTCCTTTATAAAACTACATAAGCTCTGCAAAAAAGTTTACTTTTACGTTCCAGTTTTCTGAACTATAACACGCTGCTTACGCACAGCTGCACACAGTTCCTGCTTTATAAATCACTCTTCCTAGAAAAGTGCTCAGGTGTATCTGGATCTGGAGGTGTATTCCACCTCCTACACATCATAAATGCCATATGCCATAAATGGACAATGCCGACTGCAATATGAATATTATGTCTTCTACATACACTCAATTGCATTCTGCAATTAAAGTAACACTAAAGGGAGGCACTCTCACCAAATAGAATATTTACTAAGAAATCACAATGTAACCATAAAAACACTCCTTGGTAGAGACGACTCTTGTCGTGATTTGGCGCTATATAAATAAACTTGAATTGAATTGAATTCAATTGGAAAAATTAAACAGTTTCCTGCTCCTCTACTCTACTGGTTGAGAGTGGAATAAGCAACCCTGCTGCATCCTTCTGTCGCTAGTGCTAACAATGAGCTATCACCAACATGAGCAAACTAATACTAAAATAAACCACAAAGTAAAAAGATCAACACTGTTGGACAAGAATGTTATTACAAGTCCAGTAGCAACAAAGCCAGGTCTCCATCAGTCCGTGATTTCATAGCTTGCTTTAGCTTCTTCAAACTAGTGTAGGTTGTGCCGATGTTCACTCTGGTTTTAGCTCTTTGCTTTACCTGCATATTACTTTCTTCCTTTTACTTCTAGGATCTGACATGATGCCAACATTAAAGCAAACTTCTTTATTGTGCTTTTTATTAAAAAACTGAATAAGCTAACTGCTAGCCCTTATATTAGCTGCATAAATGGTAAAATGGTAAATGGCCTGTATTTGATATAGCACCTTCTAGTCCTGGAACCCCTCAAGGCGCTTTACAACACAATCAGTCATTCACCCATTCACACACACATTCACACACTGGCGGGAATGAGCTACGATGTAGCCACAGCTGCCCTGGGGCACACTGACAGATGCGAGGCTGCCGAGCACTGGCGCCACCAGTCCCTCAGACCACCACCAGCAGGCAAGGGGGGATTAAGTGTCTTGCCCAAGGACACAATGACAGTGACAAACTGAGCGGGGCTCGAACCTGCAACCTTCCGATTACAGGGCGAGCACTTAACTCCTGTGCCACCGTCGCCCCATGCATAAAACATAAACATAGCTAACTGAAGTTAAGCATGATGAGAGTCCCCCACCCCCCCACCCATAAAGACAGTGGGAGGGTTAAGTATTAAAAACTGTTTAGTGTTAGGTTAATGCACCAATAAGTACCATAACTGTATACTTACTTTTAGCAGACGATGCATTTTTGGGTTCTACACATTGTTTTCTGTGCAGAATATTTTGAAATAAATCACTTTTTCACAACTGCGGAGAATAAACTCCCTGCCAGCTACACGGTGAGACTGAGTGTTAGTGTTTACAGTCCATGGAAGAAGGGGTCTGGAGTCTTGTTTTTTTATGTTTATTATAAAAGAAACATACATGGAAAGACGATTAGTTTCTCTCACATGTGCCCCCCCCCCCCCCCCCCCCCCCAAAAATAAAAATAAAAAAGGGGTGGGGGTGGGGGAATATTAAATTGGCACCGCTGTCAGTGACTTTCAATAATCCACAAAAGTGCAGACAAGTCCTCCAGAAGCACCCCTTGCTGTGTGGCCTATTTTTTCCAACTTAAGATATGACATAAAAGACTGAAACCAAAAGGAAATGGAAGGAGGCTCAGGAGACTTCCACAGGAGCAAGGCAAGATTTCAAATAGTGAGCTCTGTATCAAACCTTTAACTGATTAAGTGCACATAATGCACTACAACGGACGTTGGACACCACGGCTTCCCATTGTCGAGCTGAAAACGTTACACCTAACTCTTGTTCCCAAGCTCTTCTAACTTTGACTACAGAATGCACATCCAAGTCAATATGCTGTTTATATATCAGGTATATAATCTCTTTTTTATCGGATGTAAGAGCAAACAATTCTTCCCATGGTTGAGTGCTCGGAAGAGAAGGATAGGGAGGAAAGAGAGCAGAGATGCAATGGCAAACCTGAAAATAATGGAACAGGTGAGAAGCTGGAAGACTTGCTTTACAAGAGATTTCTGAAAAACTCTAAAAAGCACCATTCTTATAAAGGTCCTCAAAGGTGGTAATTCCATGACGTCTCCATTGGGCATATGTACCATCGGTGAGACCAGCAGGAAATAAGTGGTTTAAAGTGATGGGCTTATGTACGGATGGGAAGTATATTTAAAATGATTCTTGTATTGTGACCAAATCTAAAGAACAGCTCATACCATGAGGTTAGTTGTAAAGCAAGGCAGATTGCGTGGAAACTGAGAAGACACTAACGCCTCTAAGGAAGTGGAAATGCTCAACAAGCGCTCTAACATGCACCACAACAGCTCGCAGGAATCTAGCCATAAGTTAATTTACGAAAATGAGCCAACCAATGGGGCTGCGCAGTGACGCAGCGATTAGAGCCTGTTGCCTTGCACCAAGAAGGTCCTGGATTCGCTTCCCGGCCTGGGATCTTTCTGCATGGAGATTGCATGTTCTCCCTCTGCATGCGTGGGTTTTCTCTGGGTACACCGGCTTCCTCCCACCGTCCAAAGACATGACTGTTAGGTTGATTGGTCTGTCTAAATTGTCCTTAGGTGGGAGTGTGTGTGTGCATGGTTGTTTGTCCTGTGTGTCTCTGTGTTGCCCTGTATTGGACTGGCTCTCTGTCCAGGGTGTACCCCGCCTGATTGCCCGTTGACTGCTGGAGATAGGCACAAGCCCCCCCACGACCCTACGTGGACAAAGCGGGTGCAGTAGATGGATGGATGGATGGATGGAGCCGACCAATGAAAAAAAAGTTAGGAAAGGCAAAACAAATGTTCAATTTCTATCTACAAAATAACAATTTCCTCACCCCGGGATGTTTTCCTACCCACAAAAACGACAAGACCAGCTGATTTAATTGTTTGAACAAAGCTTTAGGTAGAAACACTGTAGAGGCACTGAAATGAAAACAGCAATTAGGGCAGAACAATCAACTTGACCATATTGATTCTGCCAAATAAAGACTTCCATCTTTGGAAGTCAAATTTGAGCTGGGTGATCAGAGGTGAGAAGTTGGAAGTATTTCAGGAGGAAAAATTATGAGTTATGGGCTCGACATACCGGAGGCGACAAACGACTGCAATCGGCAAAACCTTTCGCTATTGCTTTGTGTAATGTAGAGAAGGCCTGCTTCATCAGTGTGCTACCGTCATGTCACACCGGAAGGAAGCAATAATGAAATATCTCCTGTGTAACGATTTGTAAGTGGTTACTTTTAATAAGTTGTCAATAGAATATAAAGGTATTCAATTAAATGTAATATTCCATAAAAATATGGATTATCATTATTATTGAGCTTTTAATATTCAATTGATGATGAAACTAGGGCCTTTGGGTAAGCCCGGGAACCAACACTTTATAATAATTTTACACAGGGACAAAAATATAGTTTATTAAAATCTATTTATTACCATATTAAAGAGGATGAAAGGCAAATGATTATGAATGGTGATTCAAAGTGATATTAACTAAGACAATAAATGAACTTGGATGAAACATGACCTTGTATGTTTTAAGAGCTTCAGTAAGAGACTCAGAAAGGCGTGATGTCTGGGTTTATTAAATAAATTAGGCTGTTTGATGTAATTTAACAAGTTATCAAATTAATATCAACCACTCTGATGCCATTGGATAGCCTATGCACCATGGATAGTGAACGTTCTTGGAGATACGGCCTGCAAGTGCAGAGTGGACTTCTGATACATCTGATGATCATACGCCCTCTCAGAATAAGCACGACTGGTCGGAGAGATTCTTCGTAGGTGGCTTCTGGTGGACTGTTTCACATCTGATGAGTGGGTGGTGGATTGAGCAAATAATAATTGATTGATTCAAAAGAAATGGTTCTTTAAGCCGTTAAAATAATTCCACTGAAAATCTGGTTTGATTCCCCATAGGATGGTCATTTAACATGAACCGAGCTTTGGCTGAACTCAGAGCTCTGGTGGAATGGGGGAAAATAGGCAGTGAGTTCATTTTTAAGAAATGAAACTTTTGACCAAACAGATCTGAGAAATTTGAAAAGACGTTTATCAAGAGTCCTCAAACGCTTAGGTAAGAGCAGACATTTCCAGGTCTGCTAAAGGCAGTCAGTGCTTGTTGGGCACCCCCTTTCTAAGATGCTTAGAAAGCTCATTTCATTCAATATATGGAGTACATCTGTTATTATATTATCAGTGATGGGCGTAACGCCGTTTAAATATAACGGCGTTACTAACGGCGTTGTTTTTTAGGTAACGGAATAATCTAATTAATTACTTTTCCCACTGTTGCAACGCCGTTATCGTTACTGGGGACGGAAGGTTGTGTGTTACTATGTGCTTGTCGAACGTTGAGCAACAGTGTGAGGCTTTCTGACCGCCACACTTCAGCTGCAGCCAGGGAGAGAGAGGTGTCGGTAACGCACTTACAAACACGATGATGATTGGCCGGGTGGGCGGAGACCCTCAGTGTTCTCAGTGATGGGAAAAGCACCATCCATGTAGAGATTTCTCAGACTGGGACGTTACTTGAGGTGAATCCTAAGCTGGACAATGTTCTAGCAGTGATACCGGTATTAGTGCACAAAATGGATGTCATCTCGGAGAGAGTCACCGGATGGTATGGACAGATTTAAAAACCCAAAATTGGCTTCACTGAAGGACTGGAAGTGATCAGTTTAAAGACTGAAGGCAGAGAGGAAAATTATCTCAGCCTGACCCAAACAAATTCTTGTTATCTCAATCTGACGCCCTGGTAGCCTTGAGCTACAAGCAACTAAAACCCCCCACGAAGGAATGCAGACAGATGCTGCGAAAACCTGACCTACCCCCCCCCCCCCCCCGCCTTTGGATTGGTGGACTTCAGCCAGGCAAGGTCATCAACTGTAGGAGTCAATTTATTTACTCTTTGCTTCTCCCAAGATCTCCTTCCCACCTGTGACTGTTTAGATGAGCACCGTAGATGGCTACTCTCGCTGGGGGAAACAGGACCCCCCCCCCCCCCCCCCCCCCCCGCCCGCCCGCCTTCCTATTGGAGTCTCATGTTATGTTGTGTTGTCTGAAGTCTGTTGCATATCTGTTGAGGTGTTTTTTTGCAGAGCAAAGCTGCCCTCCCAGTAGAGAGTAACTCTGAAGTGCCTTTTTTTCCCTCCACCTGAACCAATCCTCATGTAACCCTCTTATCTCTATTAAGGTAGCGCGACTCGGGTTGCGAATGACCACAGTCACCATTTCTTGTCATGTGTCTTGCCCATGTATGTCTGATCTCTGAATTGTGTGTACTGAAACTCTATTTTCCCTCTGGGATTAATTAAGGATTGATTGATTGATTGATTGATTGATTGATTGATTGATTGATTGATTGATTGATTGATTGATTGATTGATTGATTGATTGATTGATTGATTGATTGATTGATTAAAATGAGGCAGGGACTTCAAGGCCACAGATAGGGGTTTCAGTGATGATAGCGAAAAGTAAAGGGGATAATGGACAAACTTCATATGTGCCGTGTGACCATGTGAAATAATTGGATAAAACACCATTTATGCCAATACTTGCCTGGGATGATTCATCCATCCATCCATTGTCTGAACCCGCTTGTCCATGTAGGGTCGCGGGGGGACTGGTGCCTATCTCCAGCGGTCAATGGGCAATCAGGCGGGGTACACCCTGGACAGAGTGCCAGTCCATCACAGGGCAACACAGAGACACACAGGACAAACAATCATGCACACACACTCACACCTAGGGACAATTTAGACGGACCAATCAACCTAACAGTTGTGTTTTTGGATTGTGGGAGGAAACCAGAGTACCCGGAGAGAACCCACACATGCACAGGGAGAACATGCAAACTCCGTGCAGAAAGGTCCCAGGCTGGGAAGCCAACCCAGGACCTTCATGATGTAAGCCAACAGCTCTAACCACTGCGCAGCCGGGGTGATTCATATGACAATCAAATCCATTAAATAAAAATTTCCCCAACAAAATTTTCGCTAAACCGGTAAGAGGACACAGCTGGAAAATGTTCGAGGGAAACCACTGTAGGGGTGTGTACAAAATGTTTGAACTGATCATGCATTTTTCAAAGCTGTATTTTTAATCTTTAAATATTGCTGTTTAATTATGTAAAGCACTTTGTGCTGATTATGGCTTGAAAATTGCTCTACAAGTAAAATTTGATTTAATTTATAAATGAAGGCCCCGGTCTGGATGACGGCAGCCCCCTGGGGTCTAGTGTTCTGACTGATACTGGGTGACTGGGCCAACAGTGTTACATGTTTGAAGTTAGATCAGATGACTCCTTGAATCTTTCATCCTGACCTCAAATTTTAAAAAATGTAATTATTTGAAGTGAAAATCATTGCTGTTGTTTTTGTTTGATCTTCTCAGAAACACAGCGCAGCGGCGGATATAGCCTCCACCCTGTCAGAGGACCAGGTACCAGAGGCCTTCCTGGTGATGCTGCTGATTCAGTTCAGTACTATGATCATAGACAGAGCCCTGTACCTGCGTAAGGCTGTCTTGGGAAAACTCATTTTTCAGGTTTGATGTTTCACCACTTGTTCATCACATTGCTACAGCAGCCTGTCAGACAGTCTGGAACTAAAGGAGTAGCTCCTTTGTTTGGATGCCAGTTTCATACAGATGTTATAAACATTAAGGATGAACCTGAGCTAAAAAGCTTTTTGGTCATTTAGTGTGAAGAAAGATTGTTTTTCTAATCTGACACAGTGGGACTAATCATGAACTGATCATTCCTGATGTGACGTTGATGAAGCAATCGAATTGTATGATCGGGTTTAAAAGTGAACGATGGGAGCTGAGTCTTGCCTTGTCCTCTGCGTGCTCTTATAAACACCGGAGGAACACGTTGAAACTCCCCAATCCCCCCACCTCCTGGAGTCTCTCTGCCACCTTCCCTAAGGTGGGGTTATGCTAGGTCAGCGGCTAACAAGAACTATATTTTGAATAATATATATATATATATATATATATATATATATATATATATATATATATATATATATTACCACTAATGGCCTGGAAGTCCTCTGAAAGAACGGACTCATGGATTTTACTGAGTGAGTCCTCTGTATTTAATGAACTGGTGCCAACTGACTGTGTTTTTATCAATGTGCCGAGAGCTACCAGGCGTGGTGGTGGATTGGCAGTTATCTGCAAAGCTGACCTCAGGTTTGAACTTAGTCACCTAACCTGATTTGAAAAGGTAAGAAGCCAGGAAACAGTTTTTCTGTAGGACTGACCCCGGGTTTCCACGGGAGCCGTCAGCAGCACGTTACTGCAGCAGCACGTCTTGCTCGCGTAAGCTGCTGCTTGGTCCTTCCCACGAGACGCGAAGCAGCAGGGGAGCAGCTGTCACCGACAGAGCACGAAGTCACACGAGTGACTTCGTCAGTAAACACAACAACAAGCAGGAGAAAATTACAACATGGTTTGTGTTTTATGTTCTGTCTGTTTTATAATCGCCAATACGGACCTGAAAAACAAAGGAGACCGCTAGCTAGGTGATAACTTCTCACGGGGCCGCACAGTTAGTAACGTTTTTTAAAAGTAAAGCAACCGGAAGGCAGCACGTTCTTTATCCTGAAAATCTCTGTAGCTTCGCTCGGTTTCCGCGTCCGATTTCCTGTCTTTCCTTCCCCAAAAATGTCGAACTTGACCCGTTTCAGAGGCGTCGCGCGTAGAAAATAGAACCGGCGCGTAAAGGCCGCGACATGCTGCTCCTGAGACGCGGCCGACTCGCGCTGCTGACGGCTGCCGACTCCTCCGGTGGAAAAGGTTCTGTTGACCACAGCGGTTCCTATCAGCAGCTATGACGTGCTGCTGACGGCTCCTGTGGAAAGCCGGGGTGAGAGGTGATGCAGGACGATCAGAGACAGACAGGAAAATAGTCAAATAAAAAACAAGAAAACTAAACAAAGTACTTGAAAAGGCAAAAGAAGGTAGATTTATCCCACTCCACGGTTTACCTTTATAAAGCAATTATTTATAAGCATGTAATATTTAAATGTTTGATACAATTCAGATCACCTTCTAAACCCAGTCCCACGACCAGGGCTGTATCAAGGCAATTTTTGGGCCAAGGCAATAGGTAAAACTATCTTCTAAACAAAAGCTTTGAGTAGTTACAGCCTTAGTTGTGAGATGAGCCAGCGCTCTAGCTGACGAGAGGTGGTGAGGAGAGGCTTCTCCTTGCTTTAACTAAAACGAACCCAGCACAGAGATTTGAAACTTTAGAAAGTGTGTAACTAATATGAAGTGTTATGATTTGATTAGGCGGGTTGAGCTCACCATATTATGTAGCGGTTTGGATTTGCTACATTTATTAAATGATCAATATATGAAGAATATTAAATTAATCAATGGAGTATTCAATACAGTATTGGAGTACTAAAATACTCGATCGCTGCAGCCCTAATACAGTTGTACCAATAAGTTTACACACCCTTGTGGATTAGTTGATTTTTTTAGCCATTTCTCTAAGAATATGAATGAAAACACAAAAACCTTTTTTTCCACTCATGGTCAGTGATGTTGTGAAGCCATTTATTGTGAAACAAATGTGTGAACTTAATTCAAATCACCATAACAAAATAAAATACCAAAATGACCCTGTAAAAAGTTTACACACCCCAGTAATTTTGCCCTGAAACATGCACAGAACTTTACACAAATGGGTTTGGCTAACCATCCTCACCTGTGATCCGTTTCCTTGCAATCAGTGTGTGATTATGAAAGGTGTGTGAGTGTTTGGACTCCTGACAAAACCTTGCATCTTCCATCCAGAGCTGCACTGACGTTTTCTGTTTCTGAGTCATGGGGAAAGCAAAAGAATTGTCACAGGATCTACGAGAAAAGGTGATTGAACTCTATAAAACTGGAAAGGGATATAAAATGATATCCAAGATACTGATAATGCCAGTCAGCAGTATTAAAACTCTGATAAAGAAGTAGAAGATGACGGGTTCTGTTAAAAACAAAACATCGTCAGGTTGACCAACAAAAATTTCTGCAACAACTAGGAGAAAAATGGTGCACAGAAAAACCCTCACATAACTTCTGCTGAAATTCAGGACTGCCTCAGAGAATGTGGCGTGGCTGTTTCAAGAAGCACAATAAGGATGCACATGAAGAAAAAAGGGCTACAAGGCCGAGTTGCCAGAAGACTACGCAAATGTCACAAAGCATCTCGCTTACAATGTGCCAAAACGTTATGTTTGGAGAGGAGTCAACAAGGCCTATGATAAAACATACACCATTCCTACTGTGAAGAATGGAGGTGGTTCGCTAATGTTTTGGAGATGTGTGAGTTAAGGCACTGGAAACCTGGTCAAAACTCAAGACTCAAGACAACTTTATTAGTCCCCGAGGGGCAATTCGAGACAGCATTGTGAAGCAGCCGGCACTAAAATCTTTAAATTCTAAAAACGCATCCAAATTACACATTTGTAAAACCCATAAAAACCTGTATACACAATCATGTCATAAACTCACATGTGACTGACCAGCAATGATTAAAACTTTGGCTCTCACACACACACACACACACACACACACACACACATGTAACTACATGCACGCACACATACAAGTAATGCACACTCCCCCTATCTGCACTGAGAATTAAGAAGAAGCACAGCTCTGGGAACAAAGGAACTTCTCCTCCTCTGTGTTTTACAGCATGGGCATCGAAGTCGGCGTTTGGAGGGCAGCCACTCGAAAACAGTATGAAGAGGGTGTGATGGCAGGATGAATGCAGCAGCTTATCAAATGATACTGGAGGAGAATCTTATGGGTCGCACTTGGATATCTCAACAAGACAATGATCCAAAACACAAGGCCAAGTCGACCTGCAACTGGCTCCAGCAGAATAAAGAGAAGGTTCTAGAGCGGCCATCTCAGTCGCCTGACCTCAATATCATTGAACCATTGTGGGGAGAGCTCAAACGCGCTGTTCATAACACATGGCCCATGAATTTACAGGAACTGGAGGCTTTTTGCCAAAAAGAATGGGCTGCTTTACCTCTAGATTATATACAGAACCTTCTCCACAACTACCACAAAAGACTCCAAGCTGTCATTAATGCTAAAGGGGCGATACACGGTATTAGGAACTGGGGTGTGTAAACTTTTTACAGGGTCATTTTAGTATTTTATTTTGTTATGGTGATTTGAATTAAGTTCACACATTTGTTTCCCAATAAATGGCTTCACAACATCATTGACCATGAGTGAAAAATGGGTTTTTGTGTTTTCATTCATATTCTTAGAGAAATGGCCAAAAACTTCACCAGGGTGTGTAAACTTATTGGCACAACTGTAGATGGATGGATGGATGGATGGATGGATGAATGAATGGATGGATGGATGGATAGTTGCGACTGCAGACGCCGAGATCCTAGTCGCTGCAGGCGAGTCTGCACTGCGGATCTGTGGGTTTCCAGCTGTGACCTTCTTGGCGTCTCGGCACATTCGTCTAACTTCCTAGATTTTCTAACGTGAACCTGTTCCTTATCACTTTTTTTGGTCCAGCTGTAACACGGATCGTATCAGTTTCAGACATCTCACTCAGGTGTTACTAGAACTACCGTAACTGTCTTTATCACCCAGCCTCAGCACTTTAGCATTTGGGTCTGACTCATGTTAGTAAATCTAAGTTCTCAATCAGTGTCAGGCTCCTCACCCTGGCTCAACGTAGTGAGCAGTGAGGAAGGTTCTGCATTCATTCGCTAAGAGGCAGCCCCCTTCATTTTCTAGATATATCTCTCCTGACAGCCGCTCAGTTGTCTGTTTTAGATATTGACTCCTTCTCCTCATCTACTTCTTGTTCCTTGGGGGATGTCGATGAGCTCCTCTGTTGATTAAATGACATCTGTCTAACTGCCCTGGGGTCTCATTTATCAAACATTGCGTAGAATCCGTACTAAAGCCATACTTAAGCTCAGCAAAAAAAATGTACTCACGCCAAGCAGGTTTGTGATCTATCAAACATGGAGTACGCACAGCTGCACGCAATCTCCGCTTCATAAATCAAAAACTATCTAGAATGTTTCTCAGCTGCATTTTAGTCACATCCCGCCCTCACCACGCCCACTTACTGCCGTAAAGAGTCAATGCAAAGTGCCTTGTGGATCTCATGCATATACATAAGCCGGCTGTTGCAGCGCTCCGCCAATAACGATGGCGACCGTAGATGAAGGCAGGTCAAGGAGGCACAATTTCACAGAAGCCGAAAATGAGGTGCTTGTGGGTGAGGTGGAGAAATGATAGGAGGTGCTTTTGCAAAACAAATAAGAGAAAATCCACTGAGTGGCACAGCGTTGCTGAAGCCGTCAATGTTGTGAATTCTTCAGAGATCTGTGGCGGATATAAAAAATATGGTCCAATCAGGATTCGATCCCCAGACTTCTGGGTGAAAGTCACGCGTGCTAACCAGTCAGCCAAACGGAGATCTCCCTTGTCCAAGTAGCCAGGGCCATGATAAATCGGGTCACAGTGACAGGACACACACACTGTCACAGACGCATGACATTCTGTCTAAATCTGTCCCCCTGCTGATATTCTGCATTCCGTATTCTGCGCTTCAGGCTGTGTGTGTGTGTGTGTGTGTGTGTGTGTGTGTGTGTGTGTGTGAGAGTGTGCGCGCGCATGTGTGTGTACACGCGTGTGTGTGTGGGGGGGGGGTCTTGTTCTGTGTGAAAATGAAGCAGTACAAGTGATAATGCTGCAGGATTTCATAATTGTATCCTTCTCAGCAGCAGCACTGCAGGTGCTCTCATGTCCAAAATGTGCGTAAGCAAGGTCCTTAGTCAACTTAAAGTTGCGCACATTTTTCCGCTAAGTTTTCTTTCATAAATCCCAAAGTTTGCGTGGAAAGTTGCTTACGCAGTTTTCCGACCCCGTTTTGTGCGTAAGCAAGCCTGATAAATGAGGCCCCAGGACTCTAGCCCCTCTCAGACCCAGACAGAAGAAGATCACCTTGAATCCCTGGCAAAATGTTGAAACCCGCTGCCTAAGAAGGCAGTGTAGGGCACTGGAACGGAAATGGAAAAAGACAGACTGACTATTTCACAGCAGCTATTCATTGAGTCACTTTCCTTGTATCAGAGCTGTCTCGTCATTACTTTGCTGATATCGTCATGCAACAAAAGGGAGACCAGGCAAAATTGTGTCGTACTATCAATTCCATTTTGCTATTGGCTTCAACTGATGGGCTAGATCCTTCAGACACATTTTGTACCGAGCTGAAATAGGCAACCCTTGCATCTCAGATTGCAGAGTTAAAGGATGTCAGAAAATACTTTGGATTCAGCAGATGGACATGGAGATAAATTTTCTTCCCCAAGCGCTCAGTTTTAATCCGGGGAGTCAGGTTCACGTCCGGAACTGATCTGGTTCTGACAGGACAGATGTTGTCCAGAGTGGGAAAACACCCTGTTAAGACCATGGAACTGGCCTTGTTGTGACAAGCTAATGTCTATTTAGTCAGACCTAATCCTTGTTTTTCCAAACTGGTGCCGCTCACAGAGATAACATGCTGATTGAAGCCCAGGAGTGGATTGTTGTAATTTTCAGGAGGACGTTTGCTGCCATAAACATTTATTATTATTATTCTGTGTTGATTAGTGATGTTCTCTCTGGTCTGCTCACTCTCAGGTGATCTTGGTTCTGGGGATTCACCTGTGGATGTTCTTCATCCTGCCTGCTGTCACTGAAAGGTGATGTCAGATTAATAATAGTTTAATTAGTTTATTTCATTTATATTATTATTTATGTTTGTATTATATTGATTTAACTGGAATAATGTGCAGATAGAACTGTTGTGAATGAATGATAAACATCAAATGTTTGAAGTTATTGTGCAGTCAGAATGAAAATCAGAATTCCTATTTGTCACAAAGGAAAGAAGCTCCAGTTTAAAGGAGACCTAGAATGTAAACCAACACTTTCCATGCTGTTGTTGAATACAGACAGCTTGGGTGTTCAAAGGTAGCATGCCAAAACATCAAAGCAGTGTGTGATCTGCTTTTTATGTAAATTAGAAAGTTGAAAAAGGTGAGAGAAAAACTCTTTTTCTGCGCAAGCTTTCCTAGTCGCATCACAGGGTTACCCCTCGTGCTATAGCTACATGTTCCAGCCCACTTCAGCGTCAGCATTATTTGAACGCTGGTCACAGCAACACTACTGCAGAGCCAAGGTAAGCCGGTTCTCTGTTAGCACCAGTTAGCTGTTAGCCTTAGCTGGAACAGCCTTGTTGAAAGAGAGAAAAACCAGCACTCACCACTCAGGTTCCTAGCCTGTCCAGCAAATAACCCCACCCCCTCAGAATTCTAACCAAGCCAATCAGCGCTGAGCAGCATACGTCACACACCGCAACGCTCACTTTCTCATAAACAACGAAGACAGCGTCTTTAAAACCACAACAAGTAGAAGCGCTGAAAGTATTTTAAAGAAAGATGTTTGCGCCGTCGCCAGACGCTATTTTTGACTAGAGCTAAAAAAACGACATAGTTGGTTATTTTTAAGCTGGGTAGTTCCTTTCTCATGTGCCTCTCTGAGTATCCACACTAGTTCTCTGTGTAGAATTAAACAGAGGACGAGTCTGGCAGGCCAGGCCATCGGGTTCCAGGACACACCGGCAAAATCCAGACTGTAAAAGAATGTCAGATAGATCCACAGCTTGTGGTTCGGTCCGGTCCTTTTCTTCGTTTTTAGTCTGCAACTCTTCTACAACCCTTATTCAATCAGTCCGTCTTTGTCACACACTCATTCTTGACTCACCGCTTCAGTGGGGACTTTTTTTCTTTTCAGAACTTTATTGAACAAACTAACAGTATACAAAATCACAAAATGTATAAAACATTTCAAACAAAACATGGGCAGGGGTGCAAAAATATCACATAATTTAACTGTAGTGCAAACATTAAAGGAGTCATCACCTGAAATTTTCACTTTTCCACTTGAAAATTGCACATAATGGCTTCTTACTGATTTTTCACTGGCTGGAAAGGCGATAATTAACATTGGATCGTTTTTTACTCTTGGCTTCTTCAACCGGCCCACGTGCACGCCATGAGCACACGTACTCCAAAACGATATCCTGAGTTCTGGCCCTAATGTCATCACAAAGGCAGGATGTACATTAAATATGGACAGCACAGACTGCCATAGCCCGCACTACTCCGCTTCCATAGAAGACGTTATTTCAACTTTCATTTTGGAACTAATTGTCTTTGAAAATATAGTAATAATAGTTCTTATTTTAAGATATCAAACTTTTATCAGACTAACGTAGTTTCAGCTGTCATCTAGCATCCAAATGTTTGGTGGGTTTTAACACCATTTCCTGTGATAAAAATCACCCGACTGACACGCGGAAGACCCAGCTTCGAATCCAGGCTGGGATATCGATTGTTGTTTGGAGTTTTTATTTTAACAGTAATTATATTTTTTTACCGTAATAAGACACCCTAATTTTTATTTTTAAACATTCAAGTCAGACATGCCGAAATACAGAATTCACGGCCATAAAAGACGTCGGTTCAACTTTCACTTGGAGCCATTTCCAAATGACGCGTCTGGCACAGCTGAAATATGCGAATTTAAGCTCTTTCTGACTGGAGACGCAGCCAGACAGCAGACCCTCACAATATATTTGGGCCAGCCAGGTCTGAACAGCATCCTGTCCCACCACCGAAGCTCACTCAACCCCATGTAGAAGGAGAAGAAGAAATTGTTTTTATAGCACCTCACAAGAAGAAAGACACAAGGCGCTTCAGGTAGTGGTCAGTTGACCACTCTGCCCCTCTCTTTTCCCGAGTGTCCAAGCCATGCAGTCGCAGATCAGATGAGATGATCGGATGAGGCTACTTCCTCATTCACCAAGGTAAACCCCAAAGGACAGGCACCCAATTGGGGGCAACAAGTATGCCCGCCCCCTGCTCTGCGCCTCTCAGTGGGGTCAATTCCAGAGTAGTAGTGTCCAACCCCTCTGGAGCAAGCCTCCTCCAGAGCCATGCCTCTCAGCCTCACACACCAACTCAAGCTCTTTCCCCAGCAGAGAGGTGACATTCCACTTACTGAGAGCCGGCTTTTGTAGCCGAGGATCAGACCGCCAACGTTTCCACCTTTGGCTACCACTCATCTCACATTGCACCCAACCTCTTTAGCTTTGTTGGTGATTGCTTTATCGGTATTTATTTGAAATATTGTTACATAATACTGTGATATCTTACAGAAAGAAAAAAAAGCTAATTTAAATAATAAGATACATCAAAGTAACAGAAAAGGTTTCTAATCTGTTGTGGTAGGAACAGAAATAAGCTGTAGATTAACACACCATTATAAGTTCAACGGTTGAAATCACTACATCAGAACACTGCACTTGCTCTTAGCTTAATCTGATCAACAGTTTGGTTTGATCTGAAATCATGCTGCCCTCCTTTATGTGGCAAGTCTTTCAATATGATCTTAACTTCGTTGTAAACTGAATATCATTCAGTTGTTGAATGAATTATTGATAGAGTTGGCTCAGTTTACAGGTTTGATCTCAGTAGATATTTTGACTAACTTTATCATTGTTTCTCTTTTCTTCAGGATGTTCAATCAGAACTTTGTGGCCCAGCTGTGGTACTTTGTAAAGTGTATTTATTTTGGTCTGTCAGCATATCAGATCCGCTGTGGTTATCCAACTCGTATCCTTGGTAACTTCCTCACTAAGAAGTACAATCATCTCAACCTGTTTCTCTTCCAAGGGTATGAATGCTAAATTAGCTAGTGGATTATAGAAAAACACACTTCTGTCATAGGAAGTCATGAGTGTGTGTGTGTGTGTGTGTGTGTGTGTGTGTGTGTGTGTGTGTGTGTGTGTGTGTGTGTGTGTGTGTGTGTGTGTATGTACGTGCGCGTGTGTGTGTGTGCGTAGGTTCCGTTTGGTGCCATTTCTGGTGGAGCTCCGAGCGGTCATGGATTGGGTCTGGACCGATACTACCTTATCTCTGTCAGACTGGATGTGTGTGGAGGACATCTATGCTAACATCTTCATCATAAAATGCAGTCGTGAGACAGAGAAGGTGAGATGAACACGAAACTTCGTTGGTGTTAGATGTTGACCTTTTTTTTATCCACCTTGTTCCTGGCCCCCATGACCCTGAAGTATGTGACCAACCTCCCCGATCCGGTGTTTGTTTAGGCAGGGCAAAGCGGATTTATTTTTTACAGCACATTTCAAACACAAAGGCAATTCAAAGTGCTTTACAGAAGAAAGAACAGCAAACACAATCAATCAATCAATCAATCAAAGAAATGTAGCTAATAATTTCAGATTCAACAAACAGATAAGACACAGTCAAAGGGGTAGCTGTTACATTGCAGAAGGTGCAGCAAAAGAAACATTGATGGAAACATGAAGGTTTTTCATTTTAATTTAAAGGTCACTAGAGTTGGGGCACATTTGAGGTCATGAGGAAGCTGATTCCATCTGTGTGCAGCATAGTAGCTAAAAGCAGCTTCAGCCTGTTTGGTTCTGACCCGGTTCTACCAGCTGACTGTTTTTCAAGGATCTGAGAGCCCGCTGGGTGTATAAACTGGAAGGAGATCCAACATGTATTTTAGCTCCATGCCATTGACAGATTTAAAGACTAGTAAAAGCACTTTGAAATTGATTCTGTAGTTTACTGTGAACCAGGAGTGATGTGCTCGGTTCATGTGGTTCTTGTTAAGACTCTAGCAGCAGCGTTCTGAATAAGCTGCAGCTGTTTTACAGCTGTTTTGGGCAGACCAGTTAGAAAACCATTGCAATAGTCCTGCCTGTTGGAGATGAATGCATGAGTTAGTTTATCTACATCTTGATTTGACATGAGACTTCTGAGTCATGCTAATTGATGGAGATGATAAAACGCTGATCTAGTTATAGCCTTAATGTGACCAGTGAAGCTCAGGTCTGAATCAATGGTAACACCAAGATTTCTAACCTGAGACTTTGTATTTATTCCTTTGGAGCTAAGTAGAAAAATACAAGTTTTTTTTTTAAATAAATTTACAACAACTTCAAAGACACTTTTTTCACATTATCATTATGGGGTGTTGTGTGTTGAATTTTATGGGCAAAATGAATTTAATCCATTTTGGAATGAGGCTGCAACATAAACAAAAAAGTGGAATAAGTGAAGCGCTGTGAATACTTTCTGGATGCACTGTAATTTCTGTCCAATCCTTATTTCCAAAGACAATAACTTCAGTCTTTGTTTAACTGGTGGAAGTTTGACTGCATCCAGTCATTAACTTGCTCTAGGCACTGACAGAGTCAGGGGACCAGATTCTAGGGGACCAGATTCATTAGGCGATAGAGCTAGGTAGATCTGGGTGGCATCTGCATAACTATGGTAGGCAATGTTGTTATTGTTTATGACCTGGACCAGTGGGAGCATGTAGAGATTCAAAAGCAGTGGTCCAAAAATCGAGCCTTGGGGTACACCGCATGTCAGTGCAATTTGCTTTGATTTGTGTTTACCAATGGAAACAACATTACTCCTGTCTGCGAGGTATGATTGGAACCAACTATGGACTGTGCCTGAAAATCCTACCTTTTTACCTAATGTAAAATCTTCATATAATAATCTAGAGCAAGGGTAGGGAACCCTGATCCTGGAGAGCTGCTATCCATCACATTTTAGAGGTTTTCCTGCTTCAATACAGCTGATTTTAATCAGCAGGTGATTAACTGGCTTCTGCAGAGCCTGAACAATGAAATGTGTATGAGGTTGTTAAATAAACTAACAAGCAAGCATTTTAGTCTCAAAGAAAAACAGTTGTTGGCTTTTAGCAGTAGCGGCTAAATTCTCAGTCTTAGTTTCATAGCTGACAGAAAATAAGTTTATCATTTACACTCCTGAAAACACACCTCGTCTTGGATCTGCAGCTCACGCCTGAAGTTCCTGGATTCTTTCTGCTGTTGAAAAACGTTAATTTAGCACAATGCTAACTTAGCACTAAGCTAGAGGTCTTGTCTGTCAGCTTGAGTTTGAAATATTCCAACACTCTGGAAACGTTTTGGCATTTCTTCCTGGGTGTTATCATCCTTATTTCCCCACCCTCTGTTGCTCACGCTGACTATGGCCTTGTTCTAGATGAGCCAGGGCTGCCGGTAATAAATGCATGAACTAGTTTTTCAGCATCACTCCTGGAAAGGATGCTTCTAATCTTAGCAATATTCCGAAGGTGGAAAAAGGAAATCCTACAAACCTGTTTAAAGTGGGATTTGAATGTCCTGGTCAAAGATAACACCAAGGTTCCTTGCTTTGTTCTGCGAGACTAATTTAATGCTATTCAGGTCAGGTGATTGACTAAGCAGTTTCCATTTCTTAAGTTACGATCCAAAGATGAGAATTTCAGTCTTGATTTAAAAGCAGAAAGTTTTGAGTCATCCAATTTTTTATGTCTTCAAGACAAGCCTGTAATCTACCTAACCACCTTCTACTGATCCTTTAATAAAAACTCTTTGTTATTTCCCAGAACTACCCCCAACCCAAAGGGCAGAAGAAAAAGAAGATAGTGAAATACGGAATGGGCGGGCTTATCATTTTCTTCCTTATCTGCATCATCTGGTTTCCTCTTCTATTCATTTCACTGGTCAGATCAGTGGTGGGTGTGGTCAACCATCCTATTGATGTCACTGTCACGGTCAAACTGGGAGGCTATGAGGTAATGGGCAACATGGCATACAGCACTGCCTACTAGGTATTTCGAACATGTTAGAATTGTTGACTTAATGCTTGAACATTTTTACCAGGTTTGTGTTGTTTTACAATCAAAACCAGGGTGAGTTATTACACTTAATTGACCCAGGCTGGAGTGAAGTTACAGAATACAAACTAAATAAGTTCTGTTATTCAGAAGAATCAATAGAAATAAGGTTAGAATATTGTTATAAACATGAAACACATCATTGTTATGATAATAGTAAGGACCTTGCATGTTTTCTGTTATTTCTGTCTGTTTGTGTTCCAGCCCCTTTTCACCATGAGTGTGCAGCAGCAGTCCATCAAACCCTTTACAGATGCTGAGTTTGATCAACTCACCAAAACCTTTGGAGACAACGCTGTATGTTCTCACACCACCACTCCAGTTAGGGCTAGGCCTGCTTCCTGTCTCACTCCAGGTTTTTTCATTTCAGCTGTGATGGTCATCTCTGATTTCCTGCTGGGACATGTTTTAAACATGTTCCAGGAGGCCTCCTTTATATTTTGACATGGTATACAATTAGTTATTATATGACAATACATAACGTAAAATTAATGAATCAGAGTATTAGCTTTGTCATTCTGCACCACTTTTGTGGCACGTCCTACTGTGACCTCCAGCCTGAACTCGGCAGCACTGTGTTCCGGTGCAGTTTCCATCAGTAGCTCCTGGTTCACCAACAGCTGACATGACCATTATGCAGGAATAGCATTGTAAAGGTTTAGAGTGTTACCCGGTTATGTTTTTGGAATTAGAGTTATGTCATTTGACCTACTGTTATTTAACTGAGGTTAGATCTGAGCTCAGCAGGATTAGTGGAACCCCTTCAGACCATATCAGCTCCTCCTGCAACTACCTGCTTTCTTTAATTTCAGCTTTGTGTACACTTGCATGTAGGTGGCCATGCAGTTCATCACTCTCTACAATTGTGAAGACATTGTCACAGCCATGATTGAAGGTAGCTCAGGATCAGTTTGGAGGATCAGCCCACCTAGTAGACAGGAACTCATTAAAGAACTACTTGAAAGTCCTGCTGACCTCACTCTCCGACTTGCCTGGAATTTCCAGAGGTAAAACTCTTATTGTGTTAAATATGCTTAATAGGATCAGAATAATACAGTGTATTCCTGCTCATCGTAAGGTTCTTAAAGGAATACCATAGATGCTTGTATCTGATCAGATGTTTGTGAAGTTTACTTTAACAGACTGTAGCTTATGAGACATCCAATGTAAAAACCTGGTCGTGGGAGGAGTTCAGTGAGACCATGGAACAAGACTTCCGTACGACTTCGAGGAGATTCTGGTCCACCATCCGGTGCCTCAGGAGGGGAAAGCAGTGTGCTACCAACACTGTTTATAGTGGGGACGGTGTGCTGCTGGCCTCGACTTGTGACATTGTTGATTGGTGGGCAGAATACTTTGAAGACCTCCTCAATACCTCTGGCACGTCTTCCAGTGAGGAAGCAGTCCGGGGACTTTGGGGTCACTAAGGTGGTCAAAAAGCTCATTGGTGGCAAGGTTCCAGCGGTGGATGAGATACGCCTATAACCCTCTCAGGCTCAAAATAAGTTTTGATAAAAGGACGGACAACTAAGCCCTTCAGAGGCACTTCTGAGTTAAAAAATGCTCATGAAATAAGTATGTGGAGTAACCACGTAGTTCGGTTTTAACATTGCTGATCTGCAACGCCTGCCTCCAGAGGGTTAAAGCTCTGGATGTTGTGGGGTTGTGTTGGCTGCAATATCGCGTGGACATCTGGGGCATTTCTACTGGATCGACAGACCAGGGTGGTGATTTCCCTAATTAAAAATTGGACTGCAGGGTGTGTTCCAACTACAGGGGGATCACACTCCTGAGCCTCCCTGGGAATGTCTATTCAGGGATTCTGGAGAAGAGGGTCTGACGGATTGTCGATCCTTGAATTCAGGAGGAGCAATGTGGTTTTCATCCTAGCCATGGAACACTGGACCACCTCTATACCTTCTTCAGCCCAGATGGTGTCACGGGTGGATGACTTGGTACTTTGGTGCGCAGTTTTTGTTTTGCTTTTGTATGTAAGTTGTGTGTCTGGACACTCTTCTGGCTTCTCTTACACCAGAGAACAACTCATAGGCTACAACACTATGATACCGGTGGATTTCTCTTCAGTTTTGTTGCATCCGCAGCTAAATTAATACCAACTTTGATCAGGGGAGTGAGATGACGAAGGGGATAAAAGCCAGCTGGCGCGCTACTGCGGCTGAGGATAAGAGGATTATGCATGGTTGTACCTGGGATCTTTCTCTCTAAAGTGGTCTCACTTTGCAACAAAATGGATGAGCTGGCCCTGATGAGAAACAAACACAGACTTTTCCTCATCTTGTGTCTTATGCTACGTGAAAACATGGCTCAGTGAGGACATCTCGGACTGCATGCTCCAGCTGGAGGGTTTTCATCACCTCCACACTGATCGGCAAGCAGCTCTCTCCGGCACGACCACGGGTGGAAGCATGTGTTTTTGCATCAGTAATGATTGGAACAGATGTTGCATTGTTCTCTTGCTATGGAATATCTTTTTATCAACTGTAAATCGCGTTACTTTCCACGTGAGTTTGCTTCTTCCATTCTAGCTGCTGTTTACATCCCACCAGAAGGCACACGATGTTCAGCATGCGCTCGCGGAACGAATATTTTGCATGGAGCGGATGTACCCAGACTCCCTCATCAAGGTTCTGGGAGATTTTAACAAAGCCAATCTGAGCCAGGAGCTTCCCAAATATAATCAGTATATTAAATGCCCGACCAAGGAGGAGAAAACACTGGATCACTGTTACAGCACAGTAACTGGAGCCTATAAAGCAGTGCCTTGCACTGTGCTATGACTTTCTGACCATGTGACCAGCCATCTGATACGAGCATACAAACAAAGGCTAAAACTCTCCAAGCCTGTTGAGAAGTCTACAAAACAGTAGAGCAACGGGGCTGTGAATGAGCTCAGCACATGATTAGAAACCACAGACTGGGACGTAGTGAGGGCTGCCTCTGAAACAGATACCATCACCTCCTACATCCACTTCTTGCAGGACAGCGTCGTACCATAACGCACTAGGGTGAATTATATCAATAACAAAGCCTACTTTACCCCAAAATTCAAACAGCTGTGGTTAGCAAAGAGAGAAGCTTTTGAAAGTGGGCACAAGGACTCCGACAGCGATTCTAAGTACAGGTTCTGCAAAGAAGTGCTCTTAGCTAAGACCAGCACCATGACAAAATGCAGCAGCAAATTTCCGAAAACAACTTAGCCTCTGTGTGGAAAAGATTCAGGAACATTACCAACTACACGCCCAAAAGCCCCACCTCCACTGATTATCTGCTCTTGGCCAACAGCCTAAACAACTTCTGTTTTTGGTTTGATGATCCAATAATCAGTTCTCACACCTCATCCAACCTCAACAATAGAGACATTGGTCACCCACCCCCACTCAAGAGCCATCACCATCACTGTGAAAATTACTCTCAGCACCCTCCACCTCACCCCCCACTTAGGAGAACCTTACATCACACACCTTCACCACAGCCCTAAACATCCGTGAAGCAGATGTGAGGAAGCAATTAAAAACTACAGACCTGTGGCACTGACATCTGTGGTCATGAAGTCATTTGAGCTCCTGGTTCTCCCCTACCTCAAGACGCTCACAGCCCCCCCTCCTGGACCCCCTGCAGTTTGCCTACAGAGCCAACAGGTCTGTAGATGATGCCTCTACACTTCATCCTACAGCATCTGGACTCCCCGGGTACCTACGCTAGGGTCCTGTTCATGAACTTCAGCTCTGCCTTCAACACAATCCTCCCAGACCTCCAAGACAAACTGTCCCAGATGAATGTGCCTGACCCCATCTGCAGAAGGATCACTGACTTCCTGACTGACAGGAAGCAGCAGGTGAGGCTGGGGAATAATGTCTCGAACCTGCGGACCTTCAACACTTGTTCCCCTTAGAGCTGTGTTCTCTTCCCTCTGCTCTTCTCCTTGTAAACCAACAGCTGCACCTCCAACTATGATTCTGTCAAGCTTATCAAGTTTTGCAGATGACACCACTGTAATTGGACTTATCTCTGACGGGGATGAGTCTGCCTATAGAATGGAGGTCGAACGGCTAATATCCTGGTGCAGCTACAATAACCTGATGCTAAACGCACAGAAGACAGTGGAGGTTGTTGTGGACTTTAGGAAGCTCACAGCCCCACTCCCCCCCTTAACCCTGCCCAACACTCCCATCATGATGGTGGACTTCTGTCGCTTTCTGGGCACCACCATCACCTAGGATCTCATGTGCAAGCCCACCATCATCTCCATTACAAAAAAGGCCCAGCAGAGGATGTACTTCTTGAGGCAGCTGAAGAAATTCAACAGTTGATGAGGCAGTTCTATCCTGCAATCCTCGAGTTCATCCTCACCTCTTCAATCACCTTTTGGTACGCTGGAGCTACCATCAGGGACAAGAAGAAGCTGCAGCGTGTTGTGCACTCTGCTGAGAAGGTCATTGGCTACAAACTACAAACTCCCCTCCATACACGATCTGCACACCTCCAGGACATTGATGCGTGCAGGTCGGATCACAGCTGACCTGTTTCACCCTGGATACAGTCTTTTGATTCGCTCTCATCTGGCAGGAGGTTCAGATCCATTCGGACCAGAACCTCTCACCACAATAACAGTTTCTGCTTCTCTGCAGTTGGACTCATTATTGACAATCCTAAAATTACCCACTCTAGTTTCTTGGTTTCAGTCACATGACCCTGTGTTGTTTGTACCTGAATCGTTCCTCTCTAATCAGTACCTACACTGTCTTGTATATAGTATCTGTTTCTCTAATTATTGCCTCCTTATATTATTATTTTACCATGATTATATTCCTACTTCCTAAATTTTCTTATCTCTTTTATTTTTATCTTTCTTTTTTTGCACCACGTACCACAGCAATTTCCTAATGTTGTGATTTTCTGCACAAATGGCAATAAAACCCTTATGACACCCATCCATCCATTTTCTTCCGCTTACCCGGAGTCGGGTTGCGAGGGCAGTAGCCTAAGTCGAGAGGCCCGGTTGGACGTGCCCGGAAAACCTCACCAGGGAGGCATCCAGGAGGCATCCTGACCAGTTGCTTGAGCCGCCTCAACTGGCTCCTCTTATGTGAAGGAGCAGCAAATCTACTCCAAGCCCCTTCCGGATGACTGAGCTTCTCACCCTATCTCTAAGGGAGAGCCCAGCCACTCTGTGGAGAAAACTCATTTTGGCCGCTTGTATCCAGGATCTCGTTCTTTCGGTCACTACCCAAAGCTCATGACCACAGATGAGGGTAGGAACGTAGATCGAAATCGAGACCTTTGACTTCTGACTCAGCTCTCTCTTCACCACGACAGACCAGTACAACGCCTGCATCACTACAGATGCAGCACCAATCCGCCTATCAATCTCGCGCTCCAGTTTTCCCTCACTAGTGAACAAGACCTCGAGATACTTAAACTCCTCAACTTGGGGCAGGACATCGTCCCTGACCCAGAGAAGGCATTCTACCCTTTTCCGAATCAAGACCATGGTCTCAGATTTAGAGGAGCTGATTCTTATCCCAGCTGCTTTACACTCGGCTGCGAACCGCTCCGGCAAAAAGCCGAAAATCACGTTCTGAGGAAGCCAACAGGACCACATCATCTGCAAGAAGCAGAAACCCAATCCTTAGGCCACCAAAACAGATGCCCTCAACACCTTGGCTGCGCCTAGAAATCCTGTCCATAAAGGTTATGAACAAAATCAGTGATAAAATGCAGCCTTGGCAGAGTCCAACTCTCACTGGAAATGAGCCTGACTTACTGCCGGAAATGCGGACCAAGCTCTGACACCGGTCATACACGGACCTAAGAGCCCGTATCAGAGAGCCTGGTACCCCATACTCCTGCAGTACCCCCCACAGGGTCCCCCGAGGGACGCGGTCAAACACCTTCTCTAAATCCACAAAACACGTGTAGATTGAGTTGGGCTCTCAAATCTCTTGCCCAACCAAAGTCCCCAGACTCTGCTTTCTCACTGGAAGACATGTCAGTGGGAGTGAGGAGGTCTTTGAAGTATTCTGCCCACCTTCTGAAATTTGAATTTAATTTTGGAGGATCCTGGAGGGCGTGTGGGAGTTTGCCCAACCAATTTACATGTGTTTTGTGTTTTTGGAGAATACATTCGACCTTGGGAGGCCCTTTGGGGGGTTCTTCGGGAGTGTGTGTTACTAGGCCCTCTGATATGAGCTCTTAGGTCCCTGTATGACTGGTGTCAGAGCTTGGTCCGCAGTGTCTGCAGTAAGTCGAGCTTGTTTCCAGTGAGAATTGGACTCCGCCAAGGCTGCCCCGTTATCACTGATTCTGTTCGTAACTTTAATGGACAGTATTTCTAGGCACAGCCAAGGTGTTGAGGGAATCCGGTTTGGTGACCTAAGGACTGAGTCTCTGATTTTTGCAGATGATGTGGTCCTGTTGGCTTCATCAGAACTTAGTCTCTGGCTCTCACTGGAGCGGTTTGCAGCTGAGTGTGAAGCAGCTGAGATGAGAATCAGCTCCTCTAAATCTGAGACCATGGTTTTGAGTCAGAAAAGCCTTCTTCGGGTCAAGGATGAGGTCCTGCCCCAAGTTGAGGAGTTAAAGTATCTCACACGTGTTCACAAGGTTGCTCTTTCAAGTATGGACTTGGGCATTTTCAACACATCACCTAATGCTGTGGTTCACACTAAATGCACTTTGAATTTTTTTGCGTCAGCAAAAATTGTTACTTTTACGTATCCTTATGCTGTTGGCTCAGTGATATTCTGGTCTTGTATTTTTGTGTGTCCCCTTTTTTCTCTCTTTCTGCAGGTCTAGAAGCAGATTCTTGTTCATCATTTATTGTTTATTTTTGTGAAACCCTTAGGGTTTCCCTGAAGTAGCTGCCCCAAGTGGCTGGGAGTGGGAAGTCTGGGCCTCCCTGTTTAGGCTGCTGCCCCTGCGACACAACCTCGTATAAGCGGCCATGGATGAATGTTTTTTCAGTGTATTTGATTGTTCATAATTCATTTAAATGAAGTTCAATAGAATAAGGATCACAAAAACATTTTGTAAGGTGTTATATGTACCATTATGTCTTGTCTAGGCTGTGGTTTATTCTGGGTTTACATGCTGAAGATTGAGCCTCTAAATATTTGTGTTTATGATTATTTATTTTGACAGGGACCTGGGTAAAGGTGGAACAGTTGAACACACTTTTGGGAAACATTCTATAAACCTGGAACCTGGAAACCCCGTTAGAGCCAACCTCGCCTCGTTACTGATTGGCAATCTCACAGAGCCTGTGTGGGTTTTCTTCCCTGTCAGGATATTTATGTAAGGTACTCTAGTACTGTCTTGGTACTTTATTTTGTGTCTTTTTTACCCCCAGACTTGTTCCTGGTATTTTTCCTAATTATATCCGTGCCCCAAATGGAGCTGAAGCTAAACCAGTCAGTCAGCTATATAAAGGTCAGTCTGCACTAGGGGTGGGAATTTATAATTATCAATATCAATGGCGTTGTTGATTCTGTCTAGCGATCCAATTCCTTATCAATTCCAGAGTAGTTAGATAGGTAGAAAAAACAAATTGCACACCATCTCCTGCATAATAACTGTTGGTTTATGTAGAGTGGGTAAAATCTCACCACAGGTCAGACCTTGGTCACTGGAGTCTGCTAGTGTGGAGGTGGATATAGAAGGTAAATGACGCTAACATGATAGGCAGTGTTAGTTGATTAGTGATCTGCAGTAACAGGTGAGGACAAATGAACGTCACCTCTGCTGCTGCGTTGAAATTCACTAGTACATAGCAGGTCAAAACATACCAGTAACTTTAAGTTATCACTTACTTTTTGCCCAAATGCTTTTGTGTATTGATAATGCTTCCTCCCTTGTTGAAATATCTACTTTGCAATTATTGCAAGTTACCCTGTTGTTATCCTTTCTTGTAAAATATGACCAAACTTTCAAGCATCTGTGACACTTAGACACCATGTTTCCTACTTCCGTAAGCTATGCAATGTGCGCGGGGACATCATTTGTGCCGACTGGAATTGATAAGGGGAATGGTTTGCCAAAGTGGCAAACCATTCCTAGGAGTTGAAACATTGGGAACCGGTACTCAACAAGAACCGGTTTTCAACTCTGCACAGAATTATTGTTCTTTATATTTTTCATAAGTTGGTGTTTTATGATTAGAAGTACATTATTTTCATTCTTGCTATGTGGCAGGGCAGTGTTCACTGAAATATGTGGGGTTTGTTCTTCCTCTCCATTAGTTGCAAAGTTCTTGCTCTTGTTAATTAACTGTCTGCATGTGTTTCATCGCACCTGTGGCGCATCTGCAGATTATGAAGATGATTACCTGGATATAACCCTGTCCCTGATGAACGACAGCTCCTCCTGCAGCTCTGGGAGCCAAGAGTGGTGGAACATTGCCATTGCAGGCTGTGATCCCTCAGCATGTGATGTTCTGCCTATGGTCATCTTCAATGATAAAGTTAGTCCACCTAGCCTGGGATTCCTGGCTGGTTACGGGTAAGAAACACAAACACGAACGGGTGCACACCCAGTTTGAGGGAGGTTTACTGTTGGTAACCAATATAAATGGATCAAGTCTGAAACCAGAGTGGTGACATAAAGACCTGCCTTCAGAGGACAAAATACGGCTAAATGAATTACAAACGAGTAGAGTATTTGAACAAGGACAGTGTTTCCCCTAGGAATTTTTCCAGCTGTGGTGGTGGTGGTGGGGGTTGGGGGTGGGGGGGTGAAATTATGACACGTCTCACCTTTATGTTAATATTGTTTTATTTGATGCACTCCACTCTGAATTTTGATTTAATTTATTTGTTAAGAACATCAAGATGCATTACAGTGAACATTATAATGAAGTAAATGTTTCTAGTGCACAGTAGTGCACATTTCAGAGAAAAATAGAACAGATCAGATGCACCTAATAAATAAAATTACGAACATAAACGCAGGAATCTGTTTCTTTGCTTCATTGTTCTGGTGCTGAAAACATCACTAATGCGGATCAAAGGAGATACACAAATGAATGCACCTCTTATTTATTATTTGGAAATTAGTGGGTGTGGTTTACATCAATACTTCGTCTTCGTCTTCGTCTTCCTCCGCTTATCCGGGTCCGGGTCGCGGGGGCAGCATACCAATTAGGGAGCTCCAGGCCGTCCTCTCCCCGGCCTTGTCCACCAGCTCCTCCGGCAGGACCCCAAGGCGTTCCCGGACCAGATTGGAGATGTAACCTCTCCAACGTGTCCTGGGTCGACCTGGGGGCCTTCTGCCGGCAGGACATGCCCAAAACACCTCCCCGGGGAGGCGTCCAGGAGGCATCCTGACCAGATGCCCAAACCACCTCAACTGGCTCCTTTCGATCCGGAGGAGCAGCGGTTCTACTCCGAGTCCCTCCCGAATGTCCGAGCTCCTCACCCTATCTCTAAGGCTGAGCCCGGCCACCCTACGGAGGAAACTCATTTCGGCCGCTTGTATCCGCGATCTCGTTCTTTCGGTCATTACCCAAAGCTCATGACCATAGGTGAGGATTGGGACGTAGATCGACCGGTAAATCGAGAGCCTGGCTTTCTGGCTCAGCTCCCTCTTCCCCACGACAGATCGGCTCAGTGTCCGCATCACTGCAGACGCCGAACCAATCCGCCTGTCGATCTCCCGATCCCTCCTACCCTCACTCGTGAACAAGACCCCGAGATACTTAAACTCCTTCACTTGAGGTAGGACCTCTCCCCCGACCCGGAGGTGGCAAGCCACCCTTTTCCGGTCGAGAACCATGGTCTCAGATTTGGAGGTGCTGATCCTCATCCCAGCCGCTTCACATTCGGCCGCGAACCTACCCAGCAAGAGCTGAAGGTCAGAGCTGGATGAAGCTAGGAGGACCACATCATCCGCAAAAAGCAGAGACGAGATTCTCCTGCTACCAAACTCGACACACTCCACACCACGGCTGCGTCTAGAAATTCTGTCCATAAAAGTGATGAACAGAACCGGTGACAAAGGGCAGCCCTGGCGGAGTCCAACCCTCACTGGGAACAGGTCCGACTTACTACCGGCTATGCGGACCAAACTCACGCTCCTCTGGTAAAGGGACTGAATGGCCCTTAACAGAAAGCCACCCACCCCATACTCCTGGAGCGTCCCCCACAGGGTGCCCCTGGGGACACGGTCATAAGCCTTCTCCAAATCCACAAAGCACATGTGGATTGGTTGGGCAAACTCCCATGCCCCCTCCATCACCCTTGCAAGGGTATAGAGCTGGTCCACAGTTCCACGGCCAGGACGAAAACCACATTGCTCCTCCTCTATCTGAGATTCAACTATCGATCGGACCCTCCTCTCCAGTACCTTGGCGTAGACCTTTCCAGGGAGGCTGAGGAGTGTGATCCCCCTATAGTTGGAACACACCCTCAGGTCACCCTTCTTAAAGATGGGGACCACCACCCCGGTCTGCCACTCCCTAGGAACTGCCCCCGATGACCACGCAATGTTGTAGAGACGTGTCAACCATGACAGCCCTACAACATCCATAGCCTTGAGATACCCAGGACGAACCTCATCTGCCCCCGGGGCTCCGCCGCTGTGTAGTTGTTTGACTACTTCAGCAACTTCTGCCCCCGAGATCGGACAGTCCATCCCCAGGCCTCCCAGCTCTGGTTCCTCCTCGGAATGCGCATTGGTGGGATTGAGGAGCTCCTCAAAGTATTCCTTCCACCGTCCGACTATAGCCTCAGTTGACGTCAGCAGCTCCCCATCCCCACTGTAAACAGTGTGAGCGAGTTGCTGCCTTCCTCTCCTGAGGCGCCGGACAGTTTGCCAGAACCTCTTTGGAGCCGATCGATAGTCTTTCTCCATGGCCTCACCAAACTCCTCCCACGTCCGAGATTTTGCCTCGGCAACTGCCACTGCTGCACCCTGCTTGGCTATCCGGTACCTGTCTGCTGCCTCCGGAGACCCACAGACCAGCCACGCCCTGTAGGCCTCCTTCTTCAGCCTGACGGCTCCCCGAACCTCTGGTGTCCACCAGCGGGTACGGGGGTTGCCACCACGACTGGCACCGGCCACCTTACGACCACAGCTAGCAACAGCCGCCTCGACAATCGCAGAGTGGAACAAGGCCCACTCGGACTCAATGTCCCCCACTGCTCTCGGGACGTGGTCAAAGCTCTGCCGGAGGTGGGAGTTGAAGACCGTCTTGACAGGTTCTTCTGCCAGGCGTTCCCAGCAGACCCTCACTATGTGTTTGGGTCTGCCAGGTCTACGCGGCATGTTCCCTTGCCATCTGATCCAACTCACCACCAGGTGGTGATCAGTTGACAGCTCCGCTCCTCTCTTCACTCGGGTGTCCAAAACATACGGCCGCAGGTCAGATGATACGACTACAAAATCTATCATCGACCTGTGACCTAGGCTGCCCTGGTACCAAGTGTACCGGTGGGCATCCTTATGTTCGAACATGGTGTTCGTTATGGCCAAACTGCGGCTTGCACAGAAGTCCAATAACAAAACACCGCTCGAGTTCAGATTAGGTGGGCCGTTCCTCCCAATCACACCCCTCCAGGTCAAGCTGTCATTGCCCACGTGAGCATTGAAGTCCCCCAGCAGGACAATGGAGTCCCCTGATGGAGCACTATCTAGCACTCGTCCCAGGGACTCCAAAAAGGGTGGGTACTCTGAACTGATATTTGGCCCATAAGCACAAACAACAGTCAGGACCCGTTCCCCGACCCGAAGGCGCAAGGAAGCTACCCTCTTGTCCCCCGGGGTAAACCCCAACACACAGGCAGAGAGTCTCGGGGCTAACAAAAAGCCAACCCCAGCCCTCCGCCTCTCACCCGGAGCAACTCCAGCAAAGTAGAGTGTCCAACCCCTCTCCAGGTCTCGGGTTCCAGAGCCAATGCAATTATTTTAAATCTGAAATTGATATGGATTGATCAGAAGTTGCTATGTGTATTGTTTATTTGGAAACGATTTACAGAGCAGCCTCAGAATTGACATTAAATATTTTTGATCACAATAGTAAAGGAACTGTTACAGAACAAGTTTTTCAATAAAATCAGAACATTAATATTTAAGTGCATGAATTAATAAATCTGAACTCATGCAGTAGGAACTAGGAAATATGAAATACTAGAACCAGACACAACTTTATTTTTTATTTTAATTTGATTAAACTGATGTTTTCCTAACGTTATTGGCATTTTTCCCCACACACAGTTAAACAAAACAATGTTGATTAAGGTGTGTGTGAGAGAGAGATAGAGAGAGATAGAGAGGGAGAGAGAGAGGGAGAGAGTTAAAATAATTTAAAAAAACCCGACCGGAGCGGAGGCAGTGACCGACGCATGCACGAGCTGTTTTCAGCTCTGTCTTGTCAAATGCACCACGGACGTTACGAATAAAGTAACTTTAAAAATTGAACTGAAAAAGAGGCGAGCTGAAGAAAACCTAGGGAGTTCTGAAGAAACGTGAGCAACAGTCTGTGTGTGTGTGTGCGTGGATGCCTGGGCCAAGCTGACTGAGCTCCCAGCTGCAGAGTTTTGTGTGTAGGGAGGGGCAGGCGCTGTATGTGACTGGCCAATCACAGAGCATGAAGACTGTCAGTTACCCAATGAGGATTTTCTTTCAGCACGATTAAAGATATTTATGAGTTTTACACTCGTTTCATGCTCGTATTTGTCAAAAATGCTTTATCCGTACGCTCATCCCTAGCTGTAACCACCCTGCCCTGCCTCCTCCTCCTTGCTGCCTGCCGGCTGTGATCACAAGCAACAACAGAGTAGTTCCCGCTGCTTCTTCGGGAAACAGCACAAATTATTTTTTTTTAAATAATAAAAAATCAATAAAACTTGGGATCTTGTAGGCGTGGCGGTGGGATTTCAGCCGTGGCGGGCCGCCACGGCTACGCCTATGTAAGGGAAACACTGAAGGAAGAGCCTGGGAAAAAAATCTGGAGGGTGTAGTACAGTCTCAGGACTAGGGCTCAGTACTGAAATTTGGTCTGAAACATCTGGTGGCTACTGCTAAAGTAAAAAAAAAAAGTGTATTGGTGAAATTATGGTGATTTGATACGTATCACGATACAGGGGAGACGATACAATATATCACGATATATTGCGATACATTCAGTCAGACAATATTAGTGATTTTTTAGACTGAATTTCTTGTAGGAAAATTCAATAAACAGTCCAAACTGATACTTAACATGTTTAACATGAGGTCTCTGAACTATAATAGAGGGATTTACATGTCAATGGTGCAAATAAATCCCAACGCACACTGCTAAAACTAGTGGTCAGCATTTGAATTGCACCAAAAGAAAAGAAAATACTCAGATGTTTGCATGTAAATCCTTCCAACAATTAGATGCACGGCTTTTAAATATCAATATAATATTTCTGGAAAAATTTTCACAGTATATAGGGAGCCTAAGTCACTTCTGCATCATGGGTCCCCGGAAGAACGAAAAAATGAATGTAAGTCAACGGGGCTAAAAAACGCTATTTTCTAAGTCCACTTGTTTTGTGCCATGGATTTCACATATCTCCTGCTTCCTCATCACCGTCGTCTCTGCTTGACTGAACTGCTCCTGCTGCTCCGCTGCATGTGTGCTGTGACGGTTCCGCCCCGCCGTATGTGGTGCAAAATTCACTCGTTTGAGAGCTGAGTTGCACACCTGTAAAAGAGAAACTGAGCATGTGCAGAAACAGATCTGTACACTTGTGTTCACAGACTTTTAGTTGAAAATGTTACACAACTTTATTTTATTTCACATGCATGTCAGTTTTTCTGACAAGAGCACATTTATCTTTACAAGTTTGAGCTTGCTGGTGTGCAACTTCTCACATTCTACTGCACACACACACACACACACACACACACACAATTTTCAGGCTCAAATCGTATTGTACAAACACACACAACAGATCTACAAGTTTGTGCATTTTGACTGTTCATCCAGAATATGTGGAGACTAGTCTGACGCTCTCGTATAACCCTCTTCCTCCGTCTTTATCCAAAAAAGGATTGAGAATCCTCAGAGTCCACTTGCATTTTAACTGTTTACTCAAAATTGAGCAGGTACAGTAAACAAAAAGATGCAAGAGACTTTTCCACAAGTTGCTAATGAAACAAAATAGTAAGGAGGAGAATTAAAGGGCAGAGGGAGGTCAAAAGACTGTCTGGCTCCACTCCCTGTCTTGTCTCTGTCTGAGAAAAGTCTCCATCCTCCTTTTTTCCTTTTTCGTTCTTATTCACACAATCTAAGAAACACTCCCCCTACTGGCTCATTAAATTATGTTTAAGTTTATTCATTTAGCAGACGCTTTTATCCAAAGAGACTTACAATCTATAACCTATAGGACATGCTGTGATCTGTGGGGGAAACCGGAGTACCCGGAGGAAACCCACACATGCATGGGGAGAACACGCAACTCCACGCAGAAAGGCCGCAGCTGAGTTTCGAACCTGCGACCTTCGTGCTTAGAGGCAACAGTGCCAACCACTGCGCCACCATGCAGCCCAAATTAAAGCATGCAAAACAAATAAACCATTTCCCTTCATATCTTGTACTCAGTTCAAATTTCTCATTTAAAATAATACTTCCATTTAACAGTTAAGCAACTTTAAATAAATAAAGAGTGACATAAAAAGTGAACCGCTAATCAACTATTATAATCATTATTTATATTCACCTCAGTTCAGATTCCTACAGTGACACAGAGTAACTTTAATAGTCTTCACCTTCTTATTTACAACCTGAAAGAAAGACATGTCCTCTTGTTTTTTTTTTCACCTGCATGTTTTAGAAAAAGGATGATTGTTGAAGAAGAATCAATGTTTATTTATTTATTTTTTGCATATTTGAGAAGAGTAAAAATCTCCCATCTTTGCATTTAGGATCATGGGCCTGTACGTGTCTGTTGTCCTGGTCATTGGGAAGTTTGTGCGTGGTTTCTTCAGTGAGATTTCCCACTCCATCATGTTTGAGGAGCTTCCCTGTGTGGACCGCATCCTGAAGCTCTGCATGGATATCTTCTTGGTTAGTATGAAATGTGTCCATGTTAACATTTAGATTGTGCTCTATTTAACGTACCATGCGCTTGTAAAGTTCTCTTGTCTGTGTCTTGAAGGTGCGTGAAACTGGAGAGCTGGAGTTGGAGGAGGAGCTTTACTCCAAACTCATTTTCCTCTACCGTTCCCCAGAGACAATGATCAAATGGACTCGGGACATCCAGACTAGAGAGCATGACTAATGCAGATGTTTGTTTGTGAAGAATGATTCAAAGAGAGGCTGTATGGATACACGAAGCGCGCTCATCCACATGCCGCAGAGCCCCTTTAAAGGAGACTTGGCTATGCCAATGTGTGAAACATCACCTGCTGCTAGAGTGATGCTGTAGTTTTATAGCAGCTCAGTTTTAAACAAACTTGTACACTCAACTGGAATGGGATTGCATTTCCACTGTGGGTGTGACTGTTTTTTGGGAGAAATGAAACGATGGAAGCAAACTCGGCTGTTTCCACTGGCCGGTTATCAGGAGATGAAAGGTCACTTTCACCCGGCTCAGATCTGAAATAGCAGCAGACTGCATCTGTTTACTGTTTTCAGCTCCAAGTCTGTTTACAAGTTGAAGCGGCCATTTTTTTGAGCTGGGAAAAAAAGACACAAGTTGTCATTATTTTTTAACAAAGACATTTTAGGATTTCATATGAAAAGATGTATTCTGAGGTCTGTTAGATGTTCAGTGCAGAATTTCAACATGCCTTCACAAATCAGATTTTACTGCTCGAGTCGGCACGTTCTCATTCTTGTGTGGTGTTAGAATTTTCTCTCCATGCACGTGTCTCTGGTTTCCTCCCACAGACCAAAGCATGCATGTCGGGTGAGTTTGGACAAAGCCTCCATAAACGAGCCACGTTTCAGTATATGTTGATTACTCTTGAGCAACAGTTTTAGAGGTTTTGTGAAGCATTTTTGACATTTACTGCTTTTCATTTCTTTAGTCCTTCTTTTATAGCTGACACTTTTCTGAGAAATAATGTTTGGTTTGGTAGGCCACTGGAGCAAGTCTCTAGTAAACAAACAAACAACAAACAAACTACCTTTAGATTGAGAAGGGTCTTTATTTGAGCAGAAAAGCAACTAATTCCCAAACATTTATTTGGAAAAATGCCTTCAGAATGACTGGAGAAATAAAAAACACAAGATAGTCTAGTTGATTAGAAGAGAGAAAGGGCAATGCAGTTTTAGGCTTACGGTATTGTAAACGTCAGTAAAATGTTGCACACTATTAACAGAACCCAGAGAAATGGATCGGGCCAAATTACAACAGAGGAAGTCTTATTTTAATTTGTCCAAGTCTATGAAGCAGACTGACTCTGGGTTCCCAACCTGAGATCTGTGACTCCTCAAAGAGGTCTTCACATGTTTGTCTGTGCTATGGTTGTGATGTTACCAGTATTATTATTGTAAAATTTACCTTTATAGACCCCAATACCTCACTCAAAATTATAATCAAAACTCTATAAGAGGTATGACTCTGTTTAAAATGTGTAATTCATCACTTTTAACGTGTTTATGCAGGTAGGAGTTGGGTTTGGGGGTCCTGGCTTGCTGTAGACACAGACGAGAGGGTCCTAAATGAGAAGTGTTGGGAACCACTGGTCTAAACCTGTTTCGCACCTGATGCAGAACAGATGCGGTATGGTTTCCATACAGCTTCTGGACAGACTGCCAATGACTGCAGTTTGTGTGCTGAAAGTCACCAGATGTCTGCTCACACAAGAGCTCCAAATGATTAGAAATAATCCATAATACATTTAAAAATATACCTGTCAAAATAATGTGAACTGTCATACACTGAGCTGATACCCACATCCTTATTAATAAAACCAAAGTGGTAAATATAATGCAACACAGAATTAAAAAAAATACAACCTATTCACCTTGCTGAAACTCACTTCCTGGTTTGGCTCAGGAAAAGTTCTTTAACTTCATCTGCATGTGATGCATCTGTACTTGTGCTTCATCATAGCCGGTGTTAATGCTCTAATTGGTCTCCTGGTTTTTGGTCTAAATTAAAACTGTACACACACACACACACACAGAAATATGTAAAGCTGGGTATACACTGTGTGACTTTTTCCACATAGCTCCATCCCTAACTATGACTTCCTTGCAGAGCAAAGCTCACCAATTGTGTTCTCACAACGTACAACCCAGTGCTCGGATGTGGCCTGATCTGACTGCTCAAACTATACGTCTCTTGATTGCTGATCGGGAGCGGGTCGTTTGGTGTTAATCACCTCTCTTAAACCCCTGTACACTACATGACACACAATGTAAAACTGACCACAACCTCACACATGAGAAAAATAATGAGCTCAAAATGGCAAAAAATTCTCTGAGCGTACATCCGGCTTAAAAGAAGGACTAAGTTGCTTTTATGACAGCTGAACTTTTCCTTCCAACATTGTCCCAACCTGTGGATCTGATTTGTACAAAGACTGTGAGAGTTTCTACACGTGTTTGGGTTTGGTAGACGCTGGCACCATTCGCTGCTACTGCAGTAATACTTATAGGTTTTAAGCATTAAAAATGCTTTGACTTCAAATGATTTTCTGTTTGTTTTTTATGGTTCTGCGGCTTAGTTTTGGGTTTCATGTGTGCCATTCATAGTGGACTTTATTCCAGTTTTATCTGCTTTCTAACCCCTTCTTTCCATCGGAGCCGTCAGCAGCACGTTACAGCAGCAGCACGTCTTGCTCACGTACGCTGCTGCTTGGCCCTTCGCATGAGACGCGAAGCAGCAGGGGAGCAGCTGTCACGGACCGAGCAGGAAGTCACACGAGTGACTTCATCAGTAAACACAACAACAAGCAGGAGAAAACTACAACATGGCTCCAAAAGGTTTGTGTTTTATGTTCTGTCCATTTTATAATCACCAATACGGACCTGCAAAACAAAGGAGACCGCTAGCTAGGTGATAACTTCTCACGGGGACGCACAGTTAGTAACTTTTTTTTAAAGTAAAGCAACCAGAAGGCAGTACGTTTCTTTATTCTGAAAATCTCAGGAAGCTTCGCTCCGTTTCCGCGTCCGATTTCCTGTCTTTCCTTCCCCAAAAATGTCGAACTTGACCCGTTTCAGAAGCGTAGCGCGTAGAAAATAGAACCGGCGCGTAAGGGCCGCGACATGCTGCTCCTGAGACGCGGCCGACTCGCGCTGCTGACGGCTCTGGTGGAAAAGGTTCTGTTGACTACAGCGGTTTCTATCAGCAGCTATGACGTGCTGCTGACGGCTCCGGTGGAAAGAAGGGGTAAGAGTGTGAGTGCCCTCCTGTCCCTGGGACTCGTCACCCGCCAGGATCTCTGTACATCGGCACTGCAGACATGGACTACATCAGGCTCCTCATCTGGTCTGCTCTCCTCTGGGCACATGTGCTATCAACCTGCTGCTGGATTACTCTGCTACACAGCCGCTGAACTCCAATGTTTCCGCCGAAATCTGCTGGCGTTTGACCCTCCGGCCTTTATGTACAGTCATCTGGACATCACTCTCTCTCCATGCCATCGCTATGTTCACCAAGGCTCCCGCAGAACCTTCTCCTCAAATTTGTCTGGTCCACTGCCCACAACAACTACTGCAAGTCTGGCCGGACCATCGATCCTCGTGTGTTAGCCTGCCCATCTAGGTCGGCTAGCGCTACTGTCAAAGTGGATAACTCCACCACAGGGGTGTGGCCATTTTTAACCAGGACCTACCCACTCAAATGGCTTCCTTAAAAAATTAAATGTAAATGTGTTATATTTTGGAGGTTTGTCCTTTTAGGTCATCATACAATGAAATGAAACAGAATAAAATTTAAATTAATGATATTTCTGATTCTGATCTGTATCTATAGATACCACAGAGCATTTGTGCTTAGGGCATCCAAATAGCTAGCACTGGCCCTGCATTTAATAAATGATAATCAGGGCTGCTGTAAAATTCAATCTCCAGTCCACATCCAAGTCAACTTTATTTATTTGGCCCTTTACAACAGTATGAAAGCTGACCAAAGTGCTTACCAAGTCAAAACAAAAACAGCTATTTCCTGTTATGCTGAAAGTTAAAGGTTCATTATAAAAGAAATAAAAAGATGACATAAAAACCAATAAAAACAAATAGCAGCAAGTAATTCAAACTGACTTAAAAGTGACTAAAACGGCTGCAATCTCACCCTGAATTAAAGGCAACTGAGAACAGATTAGTCTTTAGAAGTGATTTAAAACCCGACAGTGAGGAAGCCATCCTAATCTGAATTGGCAGTGCATTCCACAACCTTGGGGCTGCTACTGAGAAAGCTCTGCTACCCCTGAGCTTTCGCTTCGTTTTCGACACCTCCAGGAGAAGCTAGTCAGCTGACCTCAGTGACCAAGACGGCGAGTGAGCAACTAGCTCGCAGATACTGCAGAGTAAGGCCATGTACAGCTTTAAAAGCCAATGAAAGCACCTTGTGCGGAACCCTAAAATCAACAGGCAGCCCGAGGAGTGATGCTAAAATTGGGGTGATGTGATCCCTCTTTCTTGAACCTGTCAATAGGCGTGCTGCTGCATTTGGCACCATTTGAAGACGGCAGAGGTGAGACTGAGGGAGATCAAGGTACAGTGGGTTACAGTAGTCAAGGCGTGATGTAATAAACGCGCAAATCACTGTCTCAAAATCACAAATTGAGAGCAGATGCTTCACCTTGGCAATCCTCCTTTAATGGTAAAAACCTAGATTTTGTTACTTTTGGACAAGCAAATCAGTGCTGTAAGTCACCGTCAAGCCAGACTCCCAGATTAGTCGCTGCAGGTTTCAGAAATGGGGCCAGCTGAACACGGCCCACTGGACACACTGGGACTAAAAAGCATGACCTCGGTCTTTTCATTATTGAAGTGTAAAACATTTGCAGACATCCAGGTTTTATCCCTACACTGGCTTCCAGTCTCTTTTAGAATTTTGTTTAAAGTTCTGGTGTTTGTTTTTAAATGTTTAAATGAGTTGGCTCCATGTTATCTGGCAGACCTGATTCAGCTTTATGTTCCCGCAAGGAACCTTCGGTCATCAGCACAACAAGGACTGTTAGTCGTTCCGAAACACAGACAACAATCCCGAGGGGGTCGTGCTTTCTTGGTGCTGGGGCCGAGGCTCTGGAATGAGCTACCTGCATGGGTTAAACAGGCCACCACGCTCGGCAAGTTTAAGAGCCAGCTGAAAACTCACTTTTATTCTTTAGCTTTTATTCGGGAAGAGTCCCGTTAACTGATGGCTTTGCACTTTTTGCTGCCCCACCTAGATTTTATCTGCATGTTTTTGCTGGTTTTAAATGGTTTTATTTTTTATCTTATTTATTTTAATTTAAAAACAATATTTTTAATGCTTATTTCTTCTGTGCAGCGCTTTGTTTGGTCCTTGGGCCATGTGAAGGCGCTATATAAATAAAGTTTTAGTTAGAAGTTGGTTAGTTAGTATGGGTGTTTTTGTGTCTGAAATGAAAAACCATAGTTTATATGTTATTTTCAGTTTTAATCAAGCAGTCAGGAGAGGTCACGGTTAGGTCCGTGTCCGTGTGTTTCAGGTCAATGAGGAAAAACCAGAAGCCCCGCTGTCTGAGTGTAGGGAAACGTTACCCCGCAGGTTCAGTGCAGGATTGATTCAGGTTCAAAAGAAGACTGTTCATTTTTTTAAATGTCACATTTTTGTGAGTCATATCATTGCTTTTAGTTTGATAACAAGTTAATGTTGTCCCTGTACTACGTGTGTCATGTGGTATCAGAGATAAAATGTGTCCTAGAAAGAATATAACGTAATAAGTAGTTTGTATACATAGCATGTCACAGAAAGTCAGACATTAGATGATTCGCAGAAGCACAACATGGTTTAGTTATTTTATTTTTTTTCTATTACTTGTTCTACTCTTCTAAAATGAGTAAAGTGAAGTTAATCATCAATGTTTGTCTCTCTGTACTCTAACACATATTCTGTGTTGTAACAGATTGTGCTAAGGGATTCAAAGCCGGTGGGGGTGCCAGTGTACGTGTGGCAGGTGCAGCCCTGTGATGTCATGCGGCAGCTCAACTCTACCAGACGGCACATTTCTCCCAGCTGAAACTTACATCGCCCGCCCCCCCCCCCCCCCCCCTAGTGTTGAGCTGCACAGAAACTGAACAACAGTGGCACAAAAAGGGGACCAAGGTTACAATCTTTTAATTATACTATTATTATGTGTATACATATTTCTGTTATAACCTTTAAACTTGTTTTTATTTGGAAACAAGGTATTAAACCAGGTCCAGTTAATGACATGGTCATCATATCAGCTAGACCAAGAGAGAGACCGGTAGAATGAACAAGGTATGTTTTTCTTTCTGTACTGCACACACACGCACATGCACACACCCCATTTGACTTTTGTTTTTCTTCCCCAGAAGCAGTTTGTAAAAAGGAATCAGCGTCACCAATGACGGACAGCTTCGTTCTGAAGGTGCAGGAGGCATACCACAAACTTGGTGCAGATGAGGCTCCGGTGATCACAACCATGGCTGTCTCTGAAGATGCACCTCTTGTTGGGTCCACGTGTGGTTCGGTGCAGGAGGGAAGCGGGCTATCTCACCAACCACCAGTGAGGACGGCCCCAGACTGGGACACTCTGCATGTGTATTTGTGTTTACTGAACATCATTTTACATCCCTCACAACATCATTGGGGAAATCATACAAAGCCGAGAATAGAACACAATAGCAGAGTTTCTGTGTGGAGGGGCACCAACTAAGGAGATGCCACATCACTTCTACAAAATTTAGATAAGTGTGTCACACCAGGGCAGAAGGTTCTGCTGTGAACCTTGTGAAACAACCTATGAGAACAAGTAGTCAGACTGATGACATATGTTGGGGTCTTGCTTTGGAGCCTACAGCCATGGAGGAGTACTGCAAGGTAAGTAGGGATGAGCCGGATACTCGTTTCAGACGAGTATCCGGTACAGATAAAGCATTTTTGATGAGTACGAGCATGGAACGAGTAAAACTCGTAAATATCTGTAATCGTGCTGAAGGAAAATCCTCATTGGGTAACTGACTGTCTTCACGCTCTGTGATAGGCCAGTCAGAGTGCCCGCCCCTCCCTACACACAAAACTCTGCAGCTGGCAGCTCACAGCTCAGTCCGCGTCCGGTCCATCCACGCACACACAGACAGTAACGGATCTCTCTGTGCTTCCTTCACTGTTCACATTTCTTCAGTACTCCCTATGTTTTCTTCAGTTTGCTTCTTTTTTAAGTTACTTTAAAGTTATTTAAAGTTACTTTTTTCGTAATGTACGTGGTGCATTTGACAAGACAGAGCAATTTTCAAGTCCCATCTTCTTACAACACATTTTTATGATCTAGCTTTTGTTAGTTGCTTATTGCTGTTAGTTGCTGTCCCAAAGAAAACCATCTCATCAGAATTTGGTGCCCCCGAGTCTTCAGTCTGAGGATGAAGAAGAAATTCTCCAGGCCTTCACCTTGGTCTGTCACTTTTAAAGTTTCTCCTAGAGGTGGAGGGTCCAAACAAAGACTTTTTTCCTGAAACATTTAAATGACACAACATGTTCAGGGTGTACCCCGCTTACTTGCCCAGAGATTGCTGGAGAGGCACCAGCCGCCGCGACCCTGCGTGGATGAGCGGGTAAAGACAATGGATGGATGGGTTTATATTAAATGATATCAAAGGTTTAATTTGAACTGGCAGTGTTAAAATCCAGATCCACCTTTTACCCAGCTACACTTTAATGCTGCTCTTATGAGTGTATGAGCTGGCTGATAAGTGTTTGGTAAATGTAGGTGAAGAGACTTGTCAAAAGTTTACAAATACAATTACATAGATGAGATCATGGCTATGTGGAGAACACAGTTCAACACTACTGGAACATCTATAGTGACTATGACTAATATGTGTTGGTATAGCATCAAGTAGCCTGGCCACCAGTTAAGTAAATCAAGCTTTTATTGTTCAGTTTGCTGATTAAGATGCATCCTTTCTTCTGAGACTTGTGAGACTGGGTATTATTCGAGTTCTACAAGCAGGTCTCCCTCTCCCACAGTTTCCCCTGGCTGACAGTGAACAGACTTCACCTGGATGGAGAGACACAAAATGTTTATGTTCAAATGTTAACGACTGCAGTTTGTTTTCAATCAAATCAGAGAGGACCTAAAGCAGATACAGCTGGCTAAACTTAAATGAACCCGTTTCCTGTCATATATCTTAATCTGGTCCAACTGTAGTTACAAGTTACATGTGGATTAGGAGTAGTTTAACTTTATTATGTTATGTTTCTGTATTTATACACTCTAAAATCAGGTAGAAAAACAGCAAGAGTTTACATACCTTTGCTTGCTTGACAGCTGTTAAGCTGTTCTGCATCTTCATGGCTTCTATAACACATATCTCCTGACCATCTGCAACCTAGAACCACACAAAAAAACAACAACCTTAAAACTCTGCTTAAAACCTTTATTTGGACTTCCGGTACAAGAAAGCAGATTGGCTCGGCGACCTGCCAACTGTGAAGCCCAGAAACCAATGGTCTGTTCATGGTTGACATGGAAAGCCCAGTTACCAACCTCCAGACGGAGCTGATTTAACTCCACTGTAGTGACACTCAAGTCAGAGTACGACTCTGTGGCTGCTGCTGACCCAACTCTGTGCCCTAGCTGCTCAAATGCTCTACATGTTCAGCAGCACATACCTATGTGAGCAAATGCTCTCTTTGATGAAGATGATGAACAAAACAACACAGGAGTAGTCTCACTGATTAACACCTTCCTCAGCTGAGGGGGATAACATTGTTGCATTTGCATCAAAGAAAAGGTTTTTTTTCCTGCTGTCATTTATAAGGCAAATTCATGTCATTTAATCTGTTGTGATTCTGTCACGTCTTTTGAGTGAATCTGTGTTCACTGTTTTACTTGTGTAACTGGAGACAGGAGTCTCTTCACGGGAGCTTGCTACCCGGTTCCGGCCTGATTCCCTGTGAAACCGATTTTAACCCAAAAAGCCGGACAAGATCTGTATTTATACAGGGGTTAGCCAGGTTTAGACCTGAAGGAGTGCGCTTAGCCAACTCAAGGTGGTACACCACCTCCCGTTATCTTGACTTAGCATCGAAGTGCTAACAGTCTTTAGAAGCTTAAACGGAAGAGTGTGCGAGTCTCGGACCGCATTAAATGCTATTTATCTGACAAATTAACACGAGCGCCTCAACGCAGGTCCATCGTTAATCGGGCAGGTCCAATTCTATGAGAGAACTGGACCGAAATCCTGGTAGCTCCAGGTCCTGCTAGCTTAGCACAGCCAAGCTGCTAACTCTAGCTTTGGTTCGACAGCCGGGCCTCGCAAACCCGACATCTTTGTCAACCGCCTGACACAGCGTTGCCTGTGTCCTAAATCCGCTATTTCCTATGGGACAAGCTCCCGACAGTGTTCGAGCACATTTTAGCAGTGTTTTCTGACATTTGTGTTGTGAAAACGATCTAGTAGATCAACCATTTTGTGGAAATTCTGACGCACGCAACATTGTGACGTCACGGGTGTCGCAAGTTACCCCGCCCGCACTATTGCCAGCGCTCTGCCGCCATCTCGTGGCATCTTTTGTACATTACACTTCCTTTTGGTAAAACTCACTTGTGATTTGAATGATGTTAAATCAGGAACAATTGTGTTCTCCCACTGTGGGCAGACAGATTATTGACGATGTGACAGCATGTGTAGGTGTTACCAGCGGTAGCCAATGGAGATCAATGAACAGAGGAGTGACATGTGCTCTTTTAGGCTGACTGAAGATCAGACACGCCGCTGCATTCTGGACCATTTGAAGAGGTCTCACAGTACAGGCTGGAAGACCAGTTAGAAGGGCATTGCAGTAGTCGAGGCGGGAGAAGACAGTAAATTGCACCAGGAGCAGGGTGGCATATTGTGTTAGGTACGGTCTGGTCTTTCGTATGTTAAACACAAAGCGGCACGAACGAGTGACAGACGCAACATGACCTTTAAAGGTCAGCTGGTCATCAATCACAACACCCAAGTTTCGAACTGCCTTTGAAGGAGCCAGATGAGTTGGAGATGGTGGGATTTCATCCATCTTGATATAAGCTAGGTCCTAGACGAGACAAACTTATTCCATTTGAAGTTGTTGGTGAGAATGGGGAATCTATAACTGGGACAGATTAAGTATTAAACAGGTGGGAAGTGGATTATAGTAGCCTATATGCATGTTCTAGTTTACATTTGTTTGATGAACAATTTTTAGCCAACATCTGTCAGGCTAAATGGTTGCTTGAAAATAAGATAATCTATGGGTGCCCACAGTACACAATTTGCATTTTGAATAAAGAGATCTCAGTAGAAGAAGTACAGGAAGTACAGGTCCTGCCTGTGGTCTGACAGTGTCCCTGGGGTTCCTGTGCTCTGGGGCAGCTCCTGGATCTCTGGGACTTGGAGCTCCCTCCATCTCCTATGCATCTTTGGGGGCAGATCTATGGCCCCTCACACTCTCTATTGGACGCTCCTATAGAGAAACCTTACATATACAAGCGCGTGTACGCACACAGGTGCTCACATGGTGCTCTCATAAGTATGGACTTAGGCCTTTTCAACACGTCTTAAGGCTGTGGTTGGCACTAAATGCACTGTGATTTATTATTGTGCGATTGTTCAGTAAAACAATGTTGATTTATATTTCTTCATCAAGTTGACGCAGTGATAGCTTGCTCTTGTTGTATTGTTGTGTGTCCCTTTTCTGCAGGTCTAGAAGCAGGCTCTTGTTCATAATTGATTGTTTATTTTTGGACTATGCCAAACTACATGTTAACAAGCTACAAAGCTTCTGGGAGAATGTCCTATGGACAGATGAGACAAAAATGGAACTTTTTGCCAAAACACATCAGCTCTATGTTCACAGATGGAAAAATTAAGTATCACAAGAAAATAATATTGTCCCTAATGTGAAACATGGAGGAGGCTGTGTTATGTTCTGGGGCTACTTTGCTACATCTGGCACAGGGTGTCTTGAATCTGTGCAGGGTACAAGGAAACATCAAGACTATCAAGTTATTCTAGAAAGAAATGTGCTGGTAGATGTCAGAAAGCTTGGTCTCTGTCACAGATCATGGGTCTTGCAACGGGACAATGACCCAAAACACACAGTTAAAAACACCCAAGAATGGCTACGAGGAAAACATCAGACTATTCTAAAGTGGCCTTCTAAGAGTCCTGACCTCAATCCTATTTAGTATCTTTTGATGGGGTACCATCTTTTTTGTCCAGGTCTGTTGCATGAGTGATTTTTTTTAATAATACCATTGAAGCATGGTTAAAAGGCAATGTCTGGTTTTCATTGGTAAAATTTCATATAATTTTTGTTATTTTTTTTGTCAGATTCAAGTTATTTCTGTGACTGTTGAGGGTGTTTCTTTCATTGACCTAAGGGCACCAACATTTTGTTCACGTCTGTATATGATGTGTCGGTCTGATGTAAAATGTGCCACATTAAATTCCTTTACCGTATCACCAGGCTTGACAGACATGGCTACAACTGTTCCTGGCATGGGAGAGCGCAGGATGCTGCTGGTGTCTTCTGAAACCTTTTCCGGCATGTAGGAATTCAACTTTGCAGTCAATTTGGACAAGACCCGGACCTTAAACTTTAGACAAAGGATTATAAGCAACAGTTTCACACAGGAACTTTTACTACTCCTATATTAAGGTCATACATGATGAGTAAGAGCCCATTATGGGACATTTGAAAAGCACTGATACCAATCACATCAAACATGAGGACAAAACTGGTCTATGTCCTAGACAGCCTCTTATGATTTAATCATGTTATACCAATGTTCCCATGTACTGCAGGACGATATTTCCTGAAGATTCCTTGGACAAACACTAGAGAAGACAAAATATAATTTTAGATTGTGATGTTTTGATTCTGTATGCCACATTAAACAGTTCAACTTCAACTTGTACCTGAAGCATTCTACATGTGCCATTGATGGTTAATGGCAGCAGAGGACTGGCCAGGTTCCAGTCTCCACATACTTCAACTTGTCCTCCATCCACCTTTACCTGTAGAGACAAACACAGTCCATTCATGAACTTCACGTCTGACCTAAAATCAAATGAGTGACTTTGCTGAAACAAGTTCTACAGCAGAACTTCCAGCATTTCTCCTCATTTTACATCAACAGTTTAAAATGGCTCCACCCTGGGCTGCCACCTTTTTGTGGTGGAAGGGTTTGAGTGTCTCAATGATCTTAGGAGCCAAGTTATCTGAGACTTTATGCCTCTGGTAGGTCACCCACTGCAAACAGGTCCTAGGTGAAGGATCAGACAAAGTACAGCCCATATACCCTTTATGGTGATCCAAATAAATGTAAACAGTGTTCCCTTGCCCGGATGTGGGTCAACGGGGCCGCCGTCTGGAGCCAGGCCTGAAAGTGGGGCATGCTGATGAGCACCTGGTGGCTGGGCTTTCACCCATTGATCCTGGCCAGGCACAGCACAAAGATGATATGTGGTTCCCCTTTCCCATGGGCTCACAACTCGTAGGAGGGCCAAAGGGGTCGCATGAGTTGCATTGCGTGATGGGTGTTAGTTGAAGGTGGGGACCATGGCAGTCTGATCATTGGCTACAAAAGCTAGCTCTGAGAATCTTGAAAGTTACCTGTCTGGTGGGGAAAAAGCCTGAATTGGTGTGTGAGTTCGAGAGTTTCCGGGCAATTATAGAGACTCACCTCGATGCATGGTGACAGTGACAGTGACAGTTTAACACTTCAGCACTCTGGAGTTGCCCCCACTGAGAGGAAGAGGTGGGCATATTTGTTGACCCCCATCTTGGCCCCTCTACATTGGGGTGAGGGCTGACTCACTCAACCTACACGTAGGGGGATGGGTCCTGCCTGTGGTTTGACAGTCTCCCTGGGGTCCCTGTGCTCTGGGACAGCTCCTGGATCTCTGGGGCTTGGAGCTCCTTCCATCTCCTACACATCTTTGGGGGCGGAGCTGTGGCCCCTCACACTCTCTATAGGACGCTCCTATAGAGAAACCTTACATATACAAGCACGTGTATGCACACAAGTGCTCACATGATGCTCTCATAAGTATGTATATGGGCATTTTCAACACATGTCTTAAGGCTGCTCTGTCCATGTCACACCTGCTCTGGTGTTAAAAGTTAGTAAATTTAAAGGACCCATGTGTGAAATCTATTGAAATCATGATGAAAAAATGCAACTCTTTAGCGCCATGCAGTTCAGAGAAAGTATTGCAGCTACGGTGGCTCACTCATGAGTTTGACACTTTCCAACCTGTGTAGCCTAACCCACACAAAGCTTACAACAAGCTACTTGACCTCTTTAAAAAGCATTTATAATTATGACTGTTTATCAATCTACCAGTTCTGAAGGAAGCAAGCTAGTTCTGTTAGATCTTGAAGCTGTCATGATTCACACACGGAGAAGGGGTGACGTCAGCCGGGAGGTCCGGTGTTGTGAGAAATTGTGTTCCCCTGAAATATTCTGTCCCTCGTGTCGGGAAATCGCACTTCAGGCTATTTTCACAACATTTGTGATAAACTTTTACCGGAAAATGATGTAATGTAATGTAAAAATGTTATGCTTGTGATTTTTATCTGTATTTCCTCCTAAAAACAATAAAAAAGATACAGTAAAAACATTCTTGCATGAAAATTATTTATCATTTTCGAAAGTTATGTAAAAGGATGTAATCTCACTCAGTTTAACCATCTTTTATTTGAGGTAGTTTAGTCCTCATAATGGGCAATAAGTTCTGTGGATTTGGAAATATTTGCTCTTGACTGCCTAAGGGAAACAGAATATTTCAGGGGAACATAATTTCCCACAACACCCGTTTCACGCGGCTCATGGTGCCCCAATGTAAACAAACTGGCTGCCGCTACCAGCTTATATGGATAAGGAGCGATCACTGGCTGATCGTTAGCCACGGCTGGTGATGGAGTGTGAGCCGGGGACAAGCTGGAGATCAAGTAAACGATGTTGACTTTGCCACCAGCTAATCGTGGCTCACGGCTGGTGTGGTGGAGATGGACGTCACGAGCTACCAAGCTACTAGTTAGCCATGGCTAGAGCCAGGGAGATGCTGTGTATGCTGCGTGTAAACTCCCACGGATTACCAGCAAAAGGAGACCCAAGTCTAAAGGTAACGTTTGAGAAGAAGCCCTCTGTGTCGGAGCTTCTAGAGTGTTGTGGAGATAAAGTAAACAACGCAGATTTAGCCACTGGCTAGCGCATGGGTGCTGGAGTGTGTTGGGAGACACAGCAGGCTGCAGGAAGAGAGGAGACTTGAGAAAAAGGACTTTGGAACGGACACGTTGGGACCAGATCGGGAGTTCTGGTACTGACACATTGGGACCGGATCGGGAGTTCCGGTACCAGGAAAAGGGGGATGAACAACTTGAGGTGAGTTTGGGAGTCAGAGACACTAATCAGGGGCTGGTGAACAGCTAATAGCGAGTGGGGGTCCAAACATATGCAGCTTCCTTGTGCTGGACATGATGACAAACTGATGAATTTTACGTGTCTTTTGATTTAATGTTTATAATTCAAACTAACAAGTAAAGCAACGGTGTAGATATTCTTTTCTATTTCTTAATTGAATTAGCAGACTTCATGCTTCCAGGGCGCACTGCTGCCCTCTGCTGGTTCTTTCAGGTTACAGTCATAGTCCAAACGGTAATGTGGAGCTCGTAGGTCCATAAACAGCTACTGTATTTTAAGATGGTGGAGGTCCAGACAGGTTCCCAGCAGAGTACTACAAGGAATTCTGGATCATTCTGGCTCCAACATTCTTCAGAATGGTGAGGGAAATCGAAGAGAGTGGCAGATTACAGCCAAACATGAATTCAGCCAATGTTAGTTTCTTGTTAAAACCAGGCAAAGACCCTGCATTTCCTACCAGCTATCGCCCAATTTCTCTTATTAACGTTGATCTCAAAATAATTTGTAAAGCCCTGGGAAAAAGATTAGAGAAGGTAACTCCTTTCATAATACACCTGACCAAACTGGTTTCATTAAGGGTAGACAGTCATCCACAAACTCATGTATATTACTTAATTTGATAGATTTCTCTTACAGTAGTAACATAAAAATTCAATTCAATTCAATTCAATTCAATTTTATTTATATAGCGCCAAATCACGGCAAGAGTCGTCTCAAGGCACTTCACATAATAAACATTTCAATTCAGGTCAGTTCATTAAGCCAATCAGAAATAAAGTTTCCTATATAAGGAACCCAGCAAATTGCATCAAGTCACTGACTAGTGTCAGTGTGACTTTATAGCAATCCTCATACTAAGCAAGCATGCAGCGACAGTGGAGAGGAAAACTCCCTTTTAACAGGAAGAAACCTCCAGAGAATCCTGGCTCAGTATAAGCAGCCATCCACCACGACTCACTGGGGATCGAGAAGACAGAGCAGACACACACACGCACGCACGGATTTGAATGACATGTCTTGGTCAAAGAAAACACCAAGGTTCCTTACTTTGTTCTCAGAGATTAATGTAATGCAATTCAGGTCAGGTGATTGACTAAGCAATTTCCTTTTCTGGATTTCTGGTCCAAAGATGAGAACTTCCATCTTGTCTTGATTTAAAAGCAAGAAGTTTAACTGAGTATAGTCAGCATAACAGTGGAAGTTTATCCCATGCTGTCTAATGATTTTACCAATTGGGAGCATATATATAGTAAAAAGAATTGGTCCAAGCACTGAACCCTGTGGTACTCCACAAGTAACCCTGGAGTATGAAGACGATTTGTCATGTACATTTGCAAAATGAAATCTGTCAGAGAGGTAGGATTTAAACCAGCCAAGCGCTGTTCCTTTGATCCCTACAACATGTTCGTCTTTCTAAAAGAACATTGTGATCAACTGTGTCAAAGGCAGCACTGAGATCTAACAAGACTAGAACAGACACAAGATTCTTATCTGAGGCCATGAGAATATCATTTGTAACTCTCACTAATGCAGTTTCAGTGCTGTGATACTCTAAAACCAGACTGAAATTCCTCAAACAGGGCATTAGTGTTTAAATGCTTTAAATGCTCACATACTTGGATGGCCACTATTTTCTCTAGGACTTTGGATAAATATGGAAGGTTAGATATTGGTCTATAATTCATTGGGTCATCTGGATCCAGAGAAGGCTTCTTAACTGAAGGTTTGATTACAGCAACCTTAAAATCCTGTGGTGCATATCCATTTACTAAGGATAGATTGATTATATCTAGAATGGGGGCAGTAACCAAAGGAAATGCTTCTTTAAATCATTTAGTTGGGATTGGATCCAAAATGCACATTGAAGGTTTAGATGAAGCTAATATTTTTGATAACTCTGAAAGACAACAGGATCAAAACGGTTCAAGCACAGATGAGGTTCTACAGTCACCTCTGATGCTGCCTCACTTACTGAGGAAGAAGAAATCACATTAGGGAGGATGCTAAAGATTTTGTTTCTAATAGAATTAATTTACTTGTAAAAAATCCCATGAAGTCGTTGCTGCTGAGGGCTAAGGGAATAGATGGCTCAGAGCTAAGATTCTGTGTAAGTTTAGCAACTGTACTGAAAATAAATTTAGGATTATGCTTATTCTCCTCAATTAATGCTGAGAAATAAGCAGTTCTAGTTTGTCTAAGCTTATTTTTATAAAGCACAAGACTATTTTTCCAGGATAGGTAGGCCTCCTCATGGTGCGTAGAGCGCCATGTTCTCTCCAATTTCCTAGAGTTTTGTTTTAAGGCTCGTAAATGAGAATTAAACCAGGGAGCCAACTTCCTGTCCCTAATTACCTTCTTTTTTAAAAGGGCAACATCATCTAATGCCACACGTAAAGAGGAATTAACACGATGAACTGAGGCATCGATTTGTGAAGGGCTAGAACTGAAAATATTGCCCTCTGCTACATGCCTCGGAGATGCTGAGGACAGTAAAGATGGAACAGTTGATTTAAAAGATGCAACTGTCGGTAACGACACCCGGTTACTAGCTCAGTCCTTCCTTGATCCCGGAAGAACAGTTATCTACAAGAAAGTTCTACAGAGTGTAGGAAAGGGTCCTCAGAAATGCCACATGGTTTGTCGCTAGGCACTTTTTGAAAAGAAAAGCTTTTGAGAGGGGTCAAAAAGTCATTAATAATAGCAGCAAAATTGCTGAGTTGTCAACAATGCTCAGCTTACTTCTTCTAGGGTTTTTTAGTGGTAGTCAGCAGCCTGAGAGTTGCAAATACTGCCACACCAGGGACAGCTGAGAGATCTATGTAGATCAAGTAACTGGACATTCTGTATTTTTTTAACTAGACTTCAATTATCTTAGCCAGAAGAAATAACACACACTGTATTTAAGGGATAAAAACAAGTGAATTTTCCATGATATGTCCCCTGTAATGAATTGTCCACCGGTTCTCTCAGGGTGTTCCACACGATTTATTTATTTAAAATATTATTTTTTTTAGCAGGTGGTTTCTGTACTGAGGTGTAGGAATCCAGAACAGGTGGATGTTCTGGTTTGTCACTTAGTGTGACACCATGCCTAACTTAACAAGTACAACACTTTTCAGGAATTATTTTGTCTTGAAGTAAGTTCAAGTCATTCAATGGAAACTTACGATATAACTGTTTCCTGATTTGCTGATTTCTATATCATGGAGTTCATGTCCCAGCTCCACACACAGCTCCCAGTTGTTCTGGTCCATAGGAGCAGAAGACACCCTGTAACACAACATCAAATCACTACAGCTGCTGTTCTAGAATCAGAAAATCTACTGAACAATAGCAATAAATCAGTACATTTGTTAACAAATTCAAGCACTGGCAAAGTAAGCACACAAAGGAGCTTGATCACCATCTTCTGAAAAGTTCAGTTTACCATTGAATTGTGAAGTGTTAAGACTTATTTTAACATCTAAAATGAAGCCCAACCAGAAACCCGCAATGCCATTACCTCTGGGTGCCAAGGATCTTGTGTGAATAAAGTTGAGAGGTTACATGGAGAGCTGCTGCTGAGGCCAACAGCTCCCTGCATCTATCCTCATCAAGATGATGACCCTTGAAGCCTTCTGGATAAACTTCAGGTAGGAAGTTGGTACTGATGTCACCAGAGACAAACCGAGGATGGGTGATTATCTCACGCAGGAGTGGAATGTTGTGGGTAACACCTGAGTAAAAAAAAACAACTAAATTACCCAACAGAAAGAAAACCAAACTAATATTTACTGTATTCATCTGTTTTTGAACCTCTGATCACGTAATTATCCAGAGCATCCTCCATTCTGGCAAGAGCTTCAGCCCGCGTTGCGCCGTACGTAACTAACTAAAAACACAAACCAAATGCTGATCGACAGGTGAAACACTTTCGTTTAAGTAAGAAACTAAATAGAAACCTCAGCTGTATTTGCTGTCCCACTCACCTTAGAGATCATGGGATCGTAGTAGATATTAATGTCACTTCCCTCCTCAATGCCGCTATCTACACGAACCTGACACGTGTTCAACATAAAAACAAACATGTAAAGAGAATTTTCTTTGAGAAACTGACCTTCAATACCACACGGTAGTAGTAGTAGTATAATATACAATCACCATAATATACGATCTCTCTCGCAAACATGAACACACACACAGACACGCGCACACACACAAACTTACATGGCTGAGTTTAAGGGGTTCTTGGTATTGAGACAGTCGTCCAATGGAGGGAAGTCCAAAAGACTTGAAAGGATCCTATAAGGAAAAAAACAAAACAAAACAAAACAAAAAAAAAAACAATGGATCAGTGAGAAACTGTGATGATTAGATACCAGGGCCCTCGTTTATCAATCGTACTTAAGCACAGATCTGTGCGCATGTCATTCGTAGGAACTAATAAACGCATTGCCTGATATTCATCATTTTGTACTTGTGCGTGAAAATGTTCCTAAATATATAAAAATAACTCAGACAATGCGTACGAACAGCATCTAGTGGTAGAACAAGAGAACAACAACAACACACATGTTCCTCGTCCACAAATTATTTTACCCAATAAATAAAAATGTTGGTGGAAAAAGAGCTGAGTCACATAACTAAAACCTATAAAAGTCACATGTGACTGACCGGAATCTGACAATGTAGAATAGCAGAGTTTGTCTTATTTTTTTTATCAAAACCTTTACGCTTCACATTTTTAATCACTTTTAATTAATTATTTTATTTTTTTATTCAATTTTTTTGTTCTGGTGAAGTGTCTTGTGATTTTTATCTTAAGCTCCAGAGGGGACACGTCCTCCGTAAGCGCAATGATCTGTTTCCTGAAGGAGATCTTTCTAGAGCCATGCTGCTGTGACCCTTTGTGGAGTGACAGACAAACCGCACTAATCTGATTCCAGTTCATATTCTATTTTACAACTACAACAACCCCCCAGAACCTGCTCCTCAAAAGAGGCTGCACTCTGAACACACATTTCCTAATAATCCCAACCAAATTATTTAAAGATGCATTTCCTTTGGTTACTTACTGCCCCCATTTGAGATATAATCAATCTATCCTTAGTAAATGGATAAGTCCCACAGGATTTTAAGGTTGCTGTAATCAAACCTTCTCTGGATCCAGATGACCCAATGAATTATAGACCAATATCTAACCTTCCATTTTTATCCAAAGTCCTGGAGAAAATAGTGGCCATCCAAGTATGTGAGCATCTAAACACTAATGCTCTGAGGAATTTCAGTCTGGTTTTAGAGAGTATCACAGCACTGAAACTGCATTAGTGAGAGTTACAAATAATATTCTCATGGCCTCAGATAAGAATCTTGTGTCTGTTCTAGTCTTGTTAGATCTCAGTGCTGCTTTTGACACAGTTGATCACAATGTTCTTTTAGAAAGACTTGAACATGTTGTAGGGATCAAAGGAACAGCGCTAGGCTGGTTTAAATCCTACCTCTCTGACAGATTTCATTTTGTAAATGTACATGACAAATCTTCTTCATACTCCAGGGTTACTTGTGGAGTACCACAGGGTTCAGTGCTTGGACCAATTCTTTTTACTATATATATGCTCCCAATTGGTAAAATCATTAGACGGCATGGGATAAACTTTCACTGTTATGCTGACGATACTCAGTTATATTTATCCATTAACCCTGATGAACCTAATCGGTTGGATAGATTACAGGCTTGTCTTGAGGACATAAAAAAATTGGATGACTCCAAATGTTTGCTTTAAATCAAGACAAGATGGAAGTTCTCATCTTTGGACCAGAAATCCAGAAAATTAAATTGTTTAGTCAATCACCTGACCTGAATGGCATTACATTAATCTCCGAGAGCAAAGTAAGGAACCTTGGTGTTATCTTCGACCAGGACATGTCATTCAAATCCCAAGTTAAACAGGTTTGTGGGATTTCCTTTTTCCACCTTCGAAATATTGCAAAGATTAGAAGCATCCATTCCAGGAGTGATGCTGAAAAACCAGTTCATGCATTTATTACATCAAGACTGGATTACTGTAATTCATTACTGTCAGGAAGTCCACAGAATTTAGTTAAGTCTTCAGCTTGTCCAAAATGCTGCAGCTAGAGTTCTGATGAGAATTAAAAAGAGAGATCATATCTCTCCTGTCTTAGCTTCCCTACATTGGGAGATCATATCTCTCCTGTCTTAGCTTCCCTACATTGGCTACCTGTTAAATTCAGAATAGATTTTAAGATCCTTCTTCTCACATATAAAGCTCTTAATAATCAAGCTCCATCATACATCAGTGATCTGATTGTTCCATACGTTCCTAACCGAGCACTTTGCTCTCAGACTGCAGGTTTACTGGTGGTTCCCAGAATATCTAAAATTAGGATGGGAGGCAGATCTTTTAGTTATCAGGCTCCTCTCCTGTGGAACCAGCTCCCAGCCTTAGTCCGTGAGGCAGCCACCTTGTCTACTTTTAAGATTAGGCTTAAAACATTTTTATTTGATAGGGCCTATGGTTAAAATCTGTTAGCCTATATCTGTACAAGTGGGGGAGTAGAGGGAGGTGGAGTGTACAGTCGGTAAAGTCAGCTCTCCCTTGCCCTGCCTCCATCTAAAAAGGCTAGGTTATCCAGAGTTATCTCTGTAGTTATGCTGCTATAGGCTTAGACAACTGGAGGATACACTGACCACTTTTCGCACTTTACTACTTTCTTCTACAATCTGCTCTTTAACTGCATTATTTTCTGCAATTTCAGCTGTTAACTTTATTTTTTCTCTAAGTATTTTTCTCCCCAGAAGAAGCTACAATAATGTTCTGCTGAGCTGTGGTGGCCTCATGGAGGGGGCCATCATCTAGCACACTGCTGCTAACCACTAAAACATTCTCCCTCTCCTGATAATAACTTTTTGCTTTCCTTGACATTGGATGTGCTACTGCTAGTTTACCCGCACTAGGATAAATACAATAAAGTTTATCTCTCGCCAAATAGAATATTTACTAAGAAATCACAATGTAACCATAGACACAGTACTTTGTGTGTGTGTGTGTGTGTGTGTGTGTGTGTGTGTGTGTGTGTGTGTGTGTGTGTGTGTGTGTGTGTGTGTGTGTGTGTGTGTGAGAGTGTGAGTGTGTGAGTGTGTGTGCACGTGCATGCGTGTGTGTCTGCTCTGTCTTCTCGATCCCCAGTGAGTCGTGGAGGATGGCTGCTTATACTGAGCCAGGATTCTCTGGAGGTTTCTTCCTGTTAAAAGGGAGTTTTCCTCTCCACTGTCGTTATATGCTTGTTTAGTATGAGGATTGCTGTAAAGTCACTGACACTAGTCAGTGACTTGATGCAATTTGCTGGGTTCCTTATATAGGAAACATTTTTTCTGATTGGCTTAATGAACTGACCTGGATTGGAATGTTTATTATGTGAAGTGTCTTGAGACAACTCTTGTCATGATTTGGCGCTATATAAATAAAATTGAATTGAATTGAATAAAACTAACTCTAAACAGAACGACTCCCTAAATATACAGTGTAAACGACAACCCGTGACTCAACCATTTATCACATTCATTTGTTTATTTTTGATAGGGACATCTTCTCTGTCCTAACTGTGTTTACCACCTCTGCAACTTGATTGGTTCTAATGCACTTCATCACACAGTGCCTGGATCTTGCGGTCAATAAAGTTTTTTTTTTGTTTTCAGGAAGAACCCATTGATTCCCCTCACAAGCCGAGGATGTGGTGTGACCAAATTTGGTTAACTGAGTGCATTTCCGTTTGTAAATGACTGTGAATGGACAAGAGCACCTGGGAATGTACAAGTGGAATTTATCATCAGACGATTGCGGAGGAATGTGCGTACAAGAGACCATAGCATGTTTTAAAAGAAATCTGAATTTTTACCGTTCATACAAACATTTTAAATTTCATTCATAGGAAGGAATAAAGGAACACTTCTTTAAATGTTTCACGAATGAGGCCCCAGGAGAGCAAAAGAAAAGTTTTGTTGATCTCATCTATAAGAAAATCTAAACAATATCAAACATTAAATACTCTGAAGGCTCTTTTCTGAAATCAGTCCATCCACCGATCCATCCATCCACCTTTTTTTGTTTTTCCACCATTATGTCAATCTATTCACCCATCCATTAATAAATCAATCCAATTTTTATCCAAATCATAAAAGAATCAGGTCCAACGTACCTCTACCCAGAAACACTCTTGAGCTCTTTCTTCAACATACCAATGGATTCCCAGGCCAAAGAGGATTAATTCCCTCCAGAGAGCCATGGGTTATCCCAGGGGTTCCCTCCTAGTGGGACATGCCACCTGAGAAGGGCAATCAAAAGGCATAATAATAAGTTGCCCACATCATGTCATCTGAATCTTTTAATGAAGATGAATAGCAGCTGTGCTCTTCTAGCCTGGCAAGCCATCCAATATATGTGAATATGCATTCACTGGGTACACCTGTCCAACTGCTTGTGTTCAATTCATTTCAATTCAATTCAAGTTTATTTAAATAGCGACAAATCAAGACAAGAGTCGTCTCAAGGCACTTCACATAGTGTTGGACAAGGTGGCAACTCAATGCATTTAGGCATGTTGACATGGGCAAGCAACAGCCGCCTCAACAATCGCAGAGTGACACAAGGCCCACTCGGAGTCGATGTCCCCCACTGCTCTCAGGATGCGGTCAAAGCTCTGCCGGAGGTGGGAGTTAAAGACCGTCTTGACAGATTATTCTGCCAAGTGTTCCCAGCAGACCCTAGCTATGCATTTGGGTCTGCCAGGTCTACGCGGCATCTTCCCCTGCCATCTGATCCAACTCACCACCAGTTGACAGCTCCGCTCCTCTCTTCACTCAGGTGTCCAAAACATACGGCCGCAGGTCAGATGATACGACTACAAAGTCTATCATCGACCTTCGACCTAGGCTGCCCTGGTACCAAGTGTACCGATGGGCATCCTTATGTTCGAACATGGTGTTCGTTATGGCCAAACTGCGGCTTGCACAGAAGTCCAATAACGAAACACCACTCGAATTCAGATCAGGCGGGCTGTTCCTCCCAATCACACACCCCCAGGTTATGCTGTCATTGCCCACGTGAGCATTGAAGTCCTCCAGCAGGACAATGGAGTCCCCTGATGGACCACTATCTAGCACTTGTCCCAGGGACTCCAAAAAGGGTGGGTAATCTGAACTGATATTTGGCGCATAAGCACAAACAACAGTCAGGACCCGTTCCCCGACCTGAAGGCGCAGAGAAGCTACCTTCTCGTCCCCC